TGAGTTGGCCCGGAAGAGTTGACCAGAGAGAGGCTTACGGGTACCTTGCTTGGGCTCAGATTGTGGAGAAAGTGTGATGGCGGCCAATGGTGAGACGATGACATGGGACGGAACGAGATGTTTACGCAACAGTTTACAGCAGCAGCAGTATGCCTACCTACAACACTAGAGCTATTCTTTGATCCTACGTAGCCACGGCGTTTGCAGCTTGGGGTGCCCGTTGCTCAAACTTCAGTCCGTCCGTGTACCTCGAGAGCACGTTTTTGCTCCAGTTTTTGTGCCGATGGTTGATGTCAGTGTTTCACATCCCTATTCTTCCTTGGTTTTTTTTTTTTTTTTTTTTTTTTTTCCCGGCCAGGACATCTTTTGGCTGGGTTACCTTGCGAGTGTTATCCATTCTCTTATCTTTCTTCTACTCGATGGTATCATCCCGAGAACGGGAGGGAGTCCGAGAACAGCGCATACGTGCGCGGTACTGTTACAGCTGATGTCTTGGGTGTCAAAGTGCACACAGGCACAGACAGCCAGGCACAGGCAGACAGGCACCACCCACCACTGGAAACTCAACCTGGACTCAAACTGAACCATCTTTTTTTTTCCCAACGACAAAAACAAACCGGGGGTCCAAGACGGCCGGTTCGGGCGGCGTCATCCGGAAAAAACCGTAAAACGAAAACACTGGATGGATGGACAAGTGGTATTGGGTACCCATGTAGAGGGATTTGGCCAAGGAAACACAAGGGAAGGGCGGCAATGGGAAGCCGGGAGCGGGGGATCTTCTCTTTTAGACTTCCCAGCTGTCAAAGAAAACGAGGGTCGAAGGAGGGGTTGGAATGCTTGGGCTGTTTCATAAAAGGGGATGCGATCCACCAGCGGGAGGGGGGGCTCAGTGGGCTGTAACCTGAGAGTTGTGGTATTCCCCTAGCAGCAAGCATGCCTTTTCGCGTGATGAGAAGCGCGTACAAAATAATAGCCGCTTTGGGTTGTGTCTGCTCCTCATTTTTGTAAGGTCCACAGCACTTCAAGGGATCAACCCCCCCAAAAGTATCACATTTTCTAATGTACCTAGTGTACAAATGGACAAAGGATACCTGTACGATGCAGGTGATGTCGGCACTCGTTGTGATCGACATCGAATCGGCGAAAAGACCGATTATCAACAACAAAGCGGATTGATGAAGCTTGTTAGTGCGGAATCGGCGGGTAGAACCGTGAACATCCAGTTACACTCATCCGAATGGGCAGAGCCGTTTGCGGCGACAGTGACACCTGGAAGAGCTGAGGCCCGAGACTTTGTCCACGCTTCCAGCGGTGTCGTGCACAACTTTCTCGTTCCAGAGAATCGTCTCATGGAGCGAAGCCACTGACTGGTTGCAGTAACGCAGTCCAAGAGGTTCAAGGTCCGCAACTAGGTAAATGCTTGTGATGATGCCCGTTTTTCTGCCCAACCTCACCCAGCTGAGGTGTCCTGACCCCGCATGATGACGGGGTGGAGATATCATTGTTAGCTTTGCTCAAGCTCACGCACGAGCCGTGCAGGAGCGTCTCGTAGCCCAAAAACTAAGAAGAAAAGAAAAAAAAAAAGGTACGAGTGCACCCCTCCAGGCACAGGCACAGCCAGGGTCAAAAGACTTTTGTTCCTAGTTCATGCACATGTGATTAGTGGCAGGCAGGTTTTACAGGGGGCACTCACAGCCGCGTCTTCCAACATCCAGCCAGGGCCCAGGGGCAGACAGCCTGTTTTGACGACAGCGCAGATTTTTATTCATTGGGACCAGGGAAGGGTTCCTACCATTCTGCCATCCCCGCCCTTTGGCCATATTTTTTTACTTGATTTTTCTTCTTTTTTCCTTCTTTTTCTGACGGCAGGGATGGCAAAGCGCTTGTGTTTGTTATGAGGCTCTGTCGGTGGCAAGTTGCCTTGTTCCGGGTACGATGCGAGAATCCCGGACGCGGCCCATCGATGTTCATCGACAATCGGAGATCGCGGCTTGGGATATCAGATGGATGATACCACCCTATATGTCCATCTCCCGTCACTAATGACAGTGCATTTCAGGTCATGGGAACATTAAACTGACCTCTTACTATGGAGTGTGCCAGCCAAGTGCAACTCATCACCATATCACCATTGCACAAACCCAAAGCTTGCTCTGAGTCAGGATCACCGGCAGCAGCAACCAGCAAGGGCCCGTCAGGAACCGTATACCTACCAAGCAATGCAATGGGTGCGCGCTAGGGGAGGGGAGAGTTGGCGGTGAATCCCCGTGTGGCAAGCAAGCGCGGTGCCCTGTCCCACTGTTACCCTACAAGTCAGTATATACCAAACCGTGAGTGAGTGTCCCTCCTTCGCCTTGCCCGGTGTCTTTGTGACTCCAACTCCTTGTCATACTTTTGTGTGCCTTGTGTGTCTGTGTCCGTGTTCCTTATTCGGAGTTCGGGTGCCTGACCGACCAGCCTGGGCGACACATTGCATCTTACGTCTTATCCACACTTCCCATGTGCATGTGCTGATAATGGCGAAAGGGGTGCGTGTGATGCAAGGACAGAGGAGCAGCGTACCTGAATGCCTGCTTTGTGTCTGATCCTGCTCACTTATTGCTTGGTACCGATGGTTCCTGAGCGTCATACACTCTTCTGGATCCAATGAGATGCAGGATGCAAATGGGGACTGACTGAGACTGGGACTCTGCAAGGGAAGGGAAGGGAAGGGAAGGGAAGGGAGGGGCCGTGGCAGGGCCGACACGCGAGAGCTTGTTCGAGAACAATGAGACGGAAAGGTTAGAGACCTTTTAGCGTGAAGAGGGCACAATCGGATTCGCGCCCGTTCCACCTCACCGGTTTCTCTCCGATTTGGTGTTACCCTCCCTCGTTGCCTTGGGTGCCTCTCTCGGTTCCTGAGACGCTGTAAGCTTGTTGAGGCATGTGTTACGGCACAGCGTTGCTTCAGCCCCAGACAAGCAGTGTCATTTTGGTTTTGTTCTGTTTCCAAGGGCAACTTGTCCACGGCACATTTCCCAGACTTGCTTGCTTCTGCTGTCTCTAGCGAAGAAGAGCAGGTTTCTTGATCGGCCGCTTATGCAGTTTGTTGACGTGATACTGCATGAGCAGCATGCCGATGGGCAAAGTAGGTACCCAGAATCCAGGTCCAGAACCTTGAGAGACAAAAGCCAGTGTCAGCCAGGGTCAGGATGCCGCTGTCCGCGTCATCGCATGCCCTTTTGTCCTTCAGTGACACGAGTATGGTAGTGTATGTGTTACCAAGACGACACCGCTCTTAGGTTCCAGGTAAGTTGGAAGTCGACCTTGCCGTTGTCGCGCGCTCCCGTTATTCTGTTCGTTGTTGTTGTTATTGTTTTTGTTGTCGTCGTCGTCATCGGATGGAGGATTTTCCCGTTAGGCCATCATGGGTGTTGACCGGTTTGGTGGATCGAGGATTGGGAAATTCGAGAAGGGACGTGAAAAATCGATTTTCGTTGCTTTTTCTGCAGAAAGAAGGAAAAAATGTGTGAGTGCAGTGATCGATAGGTTCACTAACACGCTAACATCTGGTAACGGATGTGCCGATTGGCAGCACTGATCTACGCGGCTCAACGCGGGCGCACTGCTCCAGGTACCTTATCGTGGGCCACAGAGGGGGATAAGAGCTGTTAGGTAGCCAATGCGTGGTCATGGATGGCGTCATATGGTTGGATGGTAGGGATCGAGGGGATCATGCAGGAGCGAAGAGCAGTGTGGGGCTACGTACTCGGGTCCGGGCGGGTGGGGCATTCTTTTTCAACAGAGATCGATCAAACCCCACTGAAAGTGGACAGGAAGTAAGCAGGGGGGGTGCTAGCGCCTTCCCTACCTTGAGGTTAGCTGCTGGCTAGTGCTGCATTCATCTGCTGATGAGTGATGCCTGATGCCAGCAGCGGCTAGGAACCAAAGTCCAATTCTCTGGTGCCTGAAATGCCCGTCAACGTCATGACCAAAGTTGACTGCCGCCGCATGCGGTCGGTCCACGGAATTCGGTGAAACAAAGGCCAATACAATTGCCTATCTGACCCGTCGCCTGGGACCGAATTCGTTGTTCACAAGGCCGAACGCCGTTTAGTGTAGGATGCTAATCAGATCCACTCAGGCCACTCACTCTGCATAAAGTGAAGCACATCATCAGCATCGCCGGCGCCTACACTTTGCGCTAGCTGCCCCTGCAGTGTAAAGTGCGTGCGTTGGGACTAACCGGAATCCGAAAGGATGGAAAACAAGACACGAAATAGCCTCATCCTGGCAGTCACATGGCGGTCACACGTCCAAATGGACATGCGAATCTACAATGTGTATAACGTGGCAGAGTTGTTGAGCTTACATATCAGTTTCAAAACCTCAACTGGCAATCCCATGTGCGCTTGTTTTGCTTTCACTGTTTCACCATTTTAATATCCTTTTATCAGCTTGCCATCTCTTGGGTTGACAAAGCGAGCCAGGAAGCCAAACAAGCAGTGCAGATGGAGACAATACTGCACCTGCCAGGGACAGCAATGCATACCATGGAAGTAATGGGAATCTCTTGCAGATGTTATCGTTCGGCTTCGGAAAGGCTCATTTCACATTCTCCAGTCAGTCTTGAAAAAGCAAAGTGGAAGGTACGCCCTTCTGCGGGGATCTTGTGTAGCCGGCATCCCAGAGTAAGGTAGGTAGGTACCTTGCATTGTTTCTGCCTGGCCCTGGATCCACGCCAGAGAAGGTGGCTTGATTCCAGACACAGGTAAGGAAATTCAGCTTGGTCCTGGTCATATCGAAAGCCAGGCAACAAAGGTTAGTTGTTGCAGCTTGGTGCCTCTGGTTGACAGGAGTCAAATCCACGATTCGATTTTCTTCCCCGAAGCCAGGCAATGTCCGACCGATCGGGTGAGAAGAGTCTCTCCCGTCAAGTGGTCCTCAGCCTACCCACCGCGTACTGTAGTGTACTAAGTTCCCAAACTCTGTCTCCACTCCACCATCTTTTGGAGCTTGGGTCAAGTTGACGTTATATATGATCTCGACACATCCGCTGCAGTCTTCTGTCCAGCATCGGCCCAGTAATCTGGAAGCAAAGGGATTCTCCCCGCGGCAGGGTCAAAAGGTAAGGAGCAAAATGCAAGTGACCGGAAAGATGCTCCACCGCCTTCAGGTACACTACACCTACCTATGGTCCAGCAAAGAGACCATGTCATCGACATGGCATTCTGACAACAACAGTCTCTCCAGTCCCTCTCTCTTGGCTCAGGGCAGGCATCGCAATAAAGTGACAGGTCTGATGCAACCATGACCCCAGCCCAGCCCAGCCCAGCCCAGCCTAGCCTTGCTTACTTACCTCATGTTCTCATTCGGTCCTCAAATGTCAGTCTACTAGGTACCGAACGTCGGGTGCTGTGAAAGTGTACCCCTGACAAGCTGGCAGGAACTTCGGAAGTCCCTGAATCGTCGTAGCCACTCGTTTGGAAGCTTATCTGCAAACTTTATATCATCTATTACCTATAAAACAAGAGCTACCTATATCGGGCGCTTCCGATAGCAACCACCAACCTTCGGTCCCGACAACGGATGCCCCTTTGACTGGTCGACTAACAAATGGACGAACACGATACAATCTAGCGATTGATGCATCATTGTCTTCTTCGCTACTCGTCAACGGTCCCCAGCTCCGGCTCCTTTGCTGTGCCTGAGTGATAACTGGGCGATACAAATCACAACGCTGGGCGCCGAGCTCAAAGAGCTTGGCTATTTATAGGCACCTAGAGGTAGCTTCCAGCTTCCAGCTTCCCCGCACCGGCTGCCGCTCGGGCTAGTGTTGAACCGAGAGATGCGTTGGAAAGCTGTTGTTCCTGATTTTAGGATTTCAAAACGAACCTAAAAACCAAGTACCTAGAATAGTATATTGGCTCGACACTGACTGGACACGATAAACATTGCCACATTCCACCTCATCGCCCGTCGCCCGTCGTCCGTCGCCCGCATTTAACGCGGATGTAAACAGTACCGTATCGAGCGTAGATAGTCAAAGATCGACAGCAACATGGTGTGTAGGTGAGATCTCATAGATTTACAAAAACTCACTATGATCCCTCGCGTCTGTATGTAATCGATCGCCAAGCCAACCGTAGTTCAACTGTAGGTAAGTAGTTCGCAGTGAGTTCGGAAAAAAAAGGAAAAAAAAGAAAAACTCCCCTGGCTCTGACCCAACAATACAACTACCTATGTAGCTCCAGGAAGCTGCCAGCTGTTTGGGGTTGAAAAGGGTTCCGGGACAGATTAGATCACTGGTCGCTATCGACGTTGCATACCCGACTCAGCTGAAGAAATCATGAAAAGGGGTTCTTGGTATCTTGGCTTTGGGCCGGGGGTTCTCAAAACTTCACATGCATTACAACTGGTCACTATACGCGTATTCGCGCGAATGGAATACAAGATACAAATGAAAAGGCGCAAAAGGGGAACGAACTTGAGCCGATACAGTAGGTATTCGATTTACAAAAAAAAGAAAGAAAAGAATCCAATCCTTTGGTATGGACCGTACCGGACCACGGTGGAGTGGAGACGCCACAAATGCAGCTGCCGCCCGCCCGCGCGACCCCCGCCGGAGTGGAGCTCCGGACCCGGCCAGTCGGTTACCTTTAGAGGCAAGTATGTAGGAAATCGAGGTACAGACCAGGATTGGAAGATAGTATACTACACTACACTACACTACACGTATGTACGGATCAGGCCCGGTAAGCTCGGAATGTTGACGATACAGTACCGCCACTGCGTACGATATGCTATTTTTCTTTTGTGTTCGTTTCTTCTCTGCTATCATTTTTTTGCTATCAATCCAGCTTCTAACACCTCACTCCTCCTCTCTCCCGTCTCCAGAACTCACTCAGCCACATTGACCCTGAGCATTCGTAATCGTATAAGTGTACAAAAGAAGAAGAAAAAAGAAAAGAAACCAAGACATACATACATACATAGTAGCCAACAACACCCTCCTCAAAATATCACAACATGGTAGGTAACCTTTGAAGCCTACAGCCCCGTCTCAGTCTATATTAGTGCTTACTATATATGTATCCACCTACCTATCTGCCGCACGCGAAAAACGTGGTGACGATCGAACATATCAAAGGCTGGACAACAACGGACGGACGGACGGACGGGTGTCTGTCTGGACTCACAGGGCTGACGTGTATGTCTTTTGGGACTTGGGAGTGAGACAAGCAGTAACATTTTATTGTTCCTAGAAATCGTCGGCATTTCTCTTGCTCCCCTCAATTGGGTTGGGACCGGTGAAGAAGGAGGAGGAGAAGGACTCCTCCGGAGAGAAAGTCCGGGACGTGTCGCCTGGAAGAGGCCCTCGTCAGGGCGATCCAAGCATGCTAGGCCTGGTGAGTGAGTACAACTGCCGTGTCTGTACCTGTCGGTAGTTGGTAAAAACAGAAAAAGAGGCGGACAAATAAATAAAGGCAAAAGAACAAATTGACGAGGTGGAAGATACAGTAGAGGTGGAGGTGGAAAAGTGATTGAAGAAGGACGAACAACAACTAAGGAAGGAACTACATGCAGACAGGTAGGTACTGCAGTACTTGGCCCAAGTAGGTATAGTCGACTTATAACGGGTTTTACCTACACCTTAGTTACATGTAGTACCCATAACATCGGGAACCAGTACCTAGGTACCTATCGCCAAGCATCAATATATCGCTAAGCAAAAGAACAAACATCTATCAGTGAACGACAGGCCACACCTATATGAAGGATAAAGGAGTAGCTTTGAGATAAAGCAATTAGGTAATGAAACGGCTTACATGTTTTGAACTCTCGTCCAGAATATTCTTACACATACGATATGGTACCCATCGATGTGTTACTATGAAGAATACCTCTAGTTCATCCAAACAGAAAACAAAGAGATGGGGGCCAGCAGTCGAGCCACCGGCTGACCGACAGAAGGATTCAAATGGAAGCCAATGAACGCAATTCAGAATTCGGCAACAGTTGGCTAGCTGGCTGGCCCAAGGGAGGGAAGGACATCACGGAAGCTATCCTGGCTCGGCGTTCGGACAAGGTCAAGATAGTCGACCTCGGTAGGCACGGAAAGAAAGTGTGGTTTTGGCGTAGTTGGTAGACTGCCAAAGACGAATAGAACGGTTCGAGACGTACGAGTAAAATGGATTATTAGCAAGTTACCGAAGGGGTATACTCGACAGCTTGTGTAAAGTGGTGATTATCTTGGTCGTTAGATGACAATGACTAGTAAATACTACTACAACTATAGAGATTATGTTCGGTACAAGAACGAATACAATGAAGAGGAGATTATCTTCACTCAGATCCGCCTGTCTTAACCGTTATAACGTTTTCCTGGTCGTTCACTCTTTGTCTCGTGTATCCCCTCTCTCGAAAATATGATCGTGGATAGGTTTGTATGTCCTGTCATCATCCTTCCTGCTTCAAGCATGGAGGGGGAAGCGTGTCTGTGGCCAGTCCAACCACCTTTTTTTTCTTTTCCCAAGGCCTGCGCGGCCCCTTATGCCCATATGTACCGTATAACATCGACAATGAATGCAAACTGGTATCTTCTTCTCCCACATCTGTATTTTAGTCCATTCATTCGTTATCCAAACTCGTATCACGATCCTCATACATCGAGCATACTCCTAATCTGCGCGGGCGGCGAATTAATACTTGGACTCATTGACGCCACACTATCATTCCTCCCCGTCTCTCCCACTGCCGGTGGCCGATCCGAATACGGCGGTGGTGGGGGTACTGTTTCCCGCGGCCCATCCATCATCAACTCCGACTGCCTACTCGCCGCGCTAGGCGTCATATTCGCATACCTCGTCGCCGTCTGTCTCGCCGCAGCAAAGTCTCCTGGCGCTATCGGGCCAGTAACCCCCACGACATGCTCAGGCGAGGGGATGCTAACCATCTCGACATCGCCGGGACTGGCTGGACCATTCGGTGTTGGGCGAGGTTTGGATTCGGCAGCGCGCGTATGGATGGATTCCTTGAGGTTCCGAGCGGTAGGACCGCCACCGCCGATCTCGCGTACGTTGCGCATGATTCTGTCGCGCATGGTCATGTTCGGGGCGGGGGCTTCGTTGACGCGGCGCCACCAGGCTGGTTTACGTTGGATACCCATTTCGGCGTCGAGAATATGTCCGCGTTCGCGGCGTTGGCGGATCAGCTCGCGGTCTTCGTTAGGTGAGGTCAATCCGTAGATTGCTTGGATGAGGACAATGAGCAACGAGGGCGCATATCCTCCTGGGTAGATAGCCTCGGGCTTTCCCTTGATGTTGAGCGGACTCCAGGTGAAGTTCCAGGCAGCCATGGCTTGGTACAGGGGAATGATGAAGGCGAGCGGGATGATGAGCATAAAGCGGGTGGGCGTGAACTTGAAGAGGCCGATGGTGCGGTTGATGATGCCCCGGTTGCGCGGACAGTAGTGTCTGATGGAGTGCCAGAGGGAGAAGACGGTGATGAGCCAGGTGGTAAAGAGGAAGAAGGGAGCGGACTTGAAGCGGTTGTCGGTGGCGGTCGGCTTGGCGTCGGTGATGATTTGCTCGGGGTAGCGCTGGTGTTCGATTTTGGTCCAGGAGCGAGGGACCACGATGAAGAAGTTCTGCGAACAACGGTTAGCTGAAAGGTGTAGGGTAGGACAAGATGGCTACTATGACATACCAACCACATGAACAGATACGCAAACAGCGGGATGATAAGCTCGACCCAGTAGCGACGGCCTTCCTGGCGAAGGCGGAAAGGATCCGGATCGATGAACTGTCTTTCCATCCAGCTGCCCCAATGTCTGACTGCCTCCCATGTGCAAGCAATGGCACCTATCTGCATCAAATACCAGAAAAAGCAGGTAAGCACAATAGGAATCTCGGGTAGATAGTATCGGTCAACATCGATGTTCGTGAATAGGCTGATCAAAGCGGTGGCGCAAGTCCAGATGGCCCAGTACCACTGCCATCTGCGACCGATGGGATGGAACCGTTTCTCCGAGGGCAGGTGAAGTTTTCCATGTTTGTTCAAGGCGACCAGAGTCAAGACGAGACCCAGACCGAATGCGACGGCGAAACCCAGGCCGGTGCCGGCACGGGCGCCGATGGGATAGACGGGATGCCAGCACTGTGTGGCATTGACAAAGGTACCGTTGGGGAAGATGAGGGCTGGCGCATACGGCTCGAAGGTAAGGTAACACTTTGTGCCGTTGGACAGGGTGCCGTTGGAATATAGAGTGTAGTTCCAGTTCTCGAGGGCTGTGAGGTTGAGGTGGACCCCAGAGAGGACGGTGTCGGTCGAGTTATCGCCGCCGGGCCAGGCAAGGATATCGCGGATGTCGATGGTCATTCTCGCTGTTGTCGCAAATGGAAGTGGAGGACCATCAGAGGAGAAAGTCTGGGGAAGAGGAGTCGGGTAAATCAAAGGTGGGAATTAAAGGTTAGTATGTAAGGCGGAAGAGTCGGAAGGACGCGGGGATCGACGGGGACCGCAGGTGGTGAGATCTAGATCTGAGATTATGTCTTGGACTGGGTCAAAACTGGAGATGGAAATGGAGATGGACTTGAAGGGAGGAAGGACGATGGCGTGTGGATGAGCGCGCAATGTGGTGGTGGTCGTCGTCAGCCTCGAGAATCCACAAGTCCGCTGTTAATCATTTTTGTAGAATGAGGAAGAAAAGGAAGAAAACAAAAGTCGCCGACTGAGAGGGGAAAAAAAAGCGACCGGACCAAGAATCCCAAAAAACCAGGAACCGGTGACGGATTTCCAGTCGGGATCGCGATCACGATTCGAGCTTCACATGGATGATTCGCCCAGGGGCCAAGAGCTGTAATCTCGACACTCATTCGCGGCCCGGGCAGCGCACCCACTACCACCCTGGGGCTCTGCCGGGGCTTGCCTAACAATGGTTAGGGCTGCTGGGGCTGCGAACAGGGACACCTCTGTTAACAACTTTCGGAAACAATGTTCTCGATGACCTCACCAAGCCCCGAATGCGGGGACACTGGCGGGGCTCCCTCCACTGCCCTGCCCCTGCCGCTAGCCTCGGTGTTCGGTTATAGGTCCACTGTAACCTTTTGGGCTTTCAGGGGAAAGATCCAATTAAAACAGGCCACCTAGAGGTACTGAAGTAGAGGTGCCCCTGTACCTCCGATAGACAGCGCGCGACGGGAACCCGACAAGTTCAGGTCGACAACACCTCCAGTCGGGCAACAAACATCTGGACCCCGTCCCGATCCCGTCTCCATCTCCAGACCCCGGGGCATCTTCACGACCACATACACATAGTACACACAAGACACACATACACACATACACACATACACACGACAGCCGTTACAATGAGTGTCGCCAACGACGACGAGCCGTCCTACATCGACTACGAGACCTTTCTCGACCCAGGGTTCAGCCCCGCCGCCTTCGCAAACACGCTTGTGCTGGCGACCAACAACCCCAACGATGCGCCCCTCGACCTCTCAACACCCCTCTCACGCGTCCTCTTTGACATCCAGGAGATCGACTCCCATATCGACGTCCTAACTACCCGATCCGCCATCCCGCTCCTCACACATACCAAAGAACAGACCGAAGCCAGCGGGCGCATCGTCGGGGAACTCGACACCCAGATCAAGGCCCTCAACGACAGCTACAAACAGCTCGAAAAGGAGGTTATCCAGAAACATGCCGAAGCCGAAGAAGTCCGTCTTGTGGCCTCCCGTCTCTGGGAAACCCTCAAGCTGGGCCGAGCAGTAGGCCGCGCTCTCCAACTCGGTCGCCAGCTTGAAGTCCAACACGCCGAACTGACTGGTTCTGCCTCAACAACCGTCACCACCTCCTCCGCCAGTCTTCGCAGCAAAGAAGACCATCGCGCCCTGGTTCGATGCGCCCATACTCTTTTGTCTCTCCGTGAGCTCTTCTCGACCGCCAACGTTCCCGGCTCCGAAGGTTACGGCATCGAGCGCGTCGCCGTCATCCGCACTCTGCGCGACAACATCTACCTCCCCACCGAACGCTCAGTCCGCGAATCCGCCGAGCGCATCATCCGCGAGTTTTCCATGGGATCTGCGTCGGGTACCTTGACCTTTGCCCAGTCCGAAGAAACCAGGGCGCGAACTGTCTCCGGCCTAACAACGCTCTACCTCTTGTCGCCAACCACGCTCGCTAAGAACGAAAAGTGGTCGCCAACCCTGATGCTCCAATCTCTCGAATCCTACCTCCGTACCGCTCTGCAATCCTCTACCGCGTCCTTGTCCCGTGCCCTGGCTACCCTGCCTTCGCTGGAACGCACACTAGCAGACGTCACAGCCCGCTGCCAAAACGTCGTCGCTTTGGAAGCCGTGCTAGAAGCAACCAAGATTCCCTCTCACCCCTTGGTCCAGGGGCAGCAAGCCACGCCCAAAACAGGAGGAAACATGCTTCAGCCTTTGCTGGCGTACTTGGAAACCGGTTCATTAGCGAGTTATTTCTGGAGAACGATGGCGAGCAATCTGGCGCCGAGGGTACAGGAGATTATGAACAAGGGAGGGGTGTCGGCGAGGACACTGAGGACGAATAGGCAGAGTGTCGGGGAGGCGATCAAGGAGTGTGTGGTGAAGGGCTGTGTGTTGCCTAGTGCGGTGGCGGGGGCGGCATCCGGGGATAGGGGAAGGAATGATGAGATGAAGGATGGGGAGAAGAGTGGACGCTGGGAGAGGGAGGTTGCGGTTATGGTGGGGAGTGTGGTCAATAATATTGGGAGGTAATGATGGTGTTGGATGAGGGTCGGTTCAGTTGAAGAAAATGCACATGGCGTGCTGATAAATTCAGCATACTTTCTTCGGACCACATATGGTCGTCGAATAATCGTAGGCATCTCTGGACACCTTTACCGTCTCGTTGTGTTCACTTCAAAACGCCTTGGACAAACCTTGGATCGACAAGGACATTCACTGCCCTTCCTCCCATGCCGCAAACCATTTTCCAAACCTTGAAAACAGTCATGAATTTCCATCCCTTTTACATCGGATTAAAGAAAAGATATTACGCACTTTGGAGGACCTGAGGCATTGTTTGTTTTACCACACTCCATATCACTCCCACCATTGGCCCTTGTCGACCGTATATCTTGCCTTTCTCGTCGTCCTCATCCCCTTTCGTCAACTCTCTATTCCCTTCAGGCCAGTCAGAAGGCCTCAACCTCGGCCTGAAATACATTATCGGATGATATGAGGATCATATGAGCCCAAGCCACGTACTGCAAACGACTTTGATGTGCCCAGACACTCCCAGATTCACCCACCACCTCGACCCCTCTCATCATCAGGTATAAAGTCTCGTCTCTCGACCTCAACCACATCTTCTCCAGACCTCCTCCCTCGTCCTCCACGCCTTTTCCCTCCTCCATCACACCTCGGTCTTGGTCATCCACGGAGCAACACTCAATACGATCTTTCAACATTACCTCTTCATTCACAGGTATATATCAACTCCAAGACCCCATTTCCTTCCTTTCCTCTTTGACCCATCTTCTTCTCCCCGTTCAATCTTCTTCTCCCCGTTCAATATTCTTCCGGTATACCTTCACTCGATCTCGTACTCAACCCAATCTGAAAAATTATGCTCCCCTCTGACAAAATCCAAGCCACTTTACACTCAACATCCACTAACCCGTGTTCAGGTCCAGGAACGTTCATCTTCAACCCACGCTTTCCAATTTTTACCAGCCCTCTTCCCTCACTTCCTTCATCAGGGATCGCCAACATGAATCCCAACAGACCTCTCGGCATCAAGTCCGAGCCGGCTGAGGCTCCCAATATGACGACCATACCTCAGGCCATACCCCAGGTCGCACCCGCAGCCCAAAGCCCTTTCACAGCTGCGACCATTGCCGCTAGCGAGAGCATCACCGTGGCCACTACCTCCGCCGCTACCACTGCACCCACAATCGCTGCAAAAGCACCCCCGGCCAAGAAGGCCACCGCTGCTCCCAGGAAGCCAGCTGCTGCTAAGGCTACCGCGAAAACTACACCCAAGGCGCCACCCAAAGCCACTCCCAAAGCTACTCCCAAGACGGCTGCCGCGAAAGCTACCCCGACCTCCAACACTCAGGCCGAAGCAGAGGTGACTCCCCCCACTACAACCGGCACTGGCACCGCTCGTCCTCGCGGCCGTCCTAAGAAGAACGCAAACGCAACCGACGCCGCTACCACGGCCGCTGCTGCTAACGATAACACTAACATCACAGACGCCGCCAAAGCTACGACCTCCTCCCCGCCTCCAGCCGCACCCTCATCTCCCATCATCGTCGCTACCGCTAACCGTCCTGTTACTGCTACTGCTACCGCTAACCGCCCCAGCCCCAGCCCTAGCCCTAGCCCCGGCCCTGGGCCTGCTTCCGCCACTGCTGCTACCCGCCAAACCACCAACACCAACACCAGAGGCAGAGGCAGAGGCAGAGGTACAGGCAGAGGCAGAGGTACAGGAAGAGGAAGAGGTAGAGGCGGTGCTTCTACATCTCGTGCTTCATCGTCAACCACCACTCCCACTAGAAAACGCACCGCTAGTGCTGCTAGCATCGCTGATGCCGATGCTGATACTGACCCTGATGATGATGATGATGATGCTGATGCGTATAGGCGAGCTAGTAAGCAGCGGAAAGTTGCTTCAACTGAGGGGATCGCGGCGACATTGAGAGCTTTTGAAGCTTCGCGAGCGGGCTCGGCTTCGGCTTTGGCCTCAGGAGCAGGCTCGGGCTCTGGCTCTGGCTCAAAGCAGGTGGTGAGGGCCGCGGCTTCGGGAGGGGCAGGAGGTTCAGGAGGTAAAGGGGGTGCAGCAGGGCCAGGAACAAGTGTCGGCAAGAAGGGGTGGAGTGTAGATGGGCAGGAGATTAATCGGCGGCATAAGGAGAATGATTTGCAGTAAGTCTTTTTTTTCTTCTTTTTTTTTTTTCGCATCTCTTTCAGAGAATGGCAGGTGGAAACAAAATGCTAACATCGATGGTGGAAAAACAGTCTCCTCGAAACTGGCGAGTTCTCTGATGCTACCATCCATTGTCTCAAGAAGAAGTGGAAGGTGCATAAGATGAGATTGAGCACGAGAAGTGCGTGGTTCAGGGAGGCTTTTGCTGGTAGTGATGGGGTGAGTTTTTTTTCGGTTTTCTGGGCGATGACAAGGGAAGAAGTTTAAAGGAGTTGCTGACGAGTTGGTGACCAACAGGCAGGTCAAATTAGCGAGATCAACCTCCACGAGCAAAACGCTGAAGACATTGAAACCATGCTGAGGTTCATGTATGCCGACTGTAAGTCTTTTCTTTTCTTCTCTTTTTACCATATGTCATCCACATGCATGTTAACCTTCATTGGTCCTTAGCCCTCGACGACAACCTCACCCGCCCCTCCTCCCTCGCCTCCCCCATCACCACCTACGTAACCCTCTACAACCTAGGCCACACCTTCCGCATCCCCCTCCTCTGCCGCGACAGCATCACCCTGCTAGGACAATACCTCGACACCAAGCTCCTCCTCCTGTGCACCTACTCGGTCCCCGCCTCCGGCCGCTCCGGCGTAATCGACCACTCAGACCCCCTCTTATCCCCCCAATCCTACGCGAACGACCTATTCTCCGGCATTTTCCAAGCTTACTCGGGCGTCTCCGAAAGCACCAAACTACACTCTTTACTTGCATCCTTCCTCTGGGCAGGCCGCGACCGTCTTTTTCGCCTGCCTGGTCTCCGCCAAGTAGTCGACCAGTGCCCTATGCTCGGAACGGACGTGTTCAAAGTCCAACTAGGCGACAATTCCAGTAGTTTCATCCCGCCGACGACGATCAAACTTACCAACGTGCCGGGTGGAGGTGGCGGCGGAGGCGACGTGGAGGAGCTCAAAGCTAAACACTTTGGACCGACATGTAGTAGACTGGATCATACAAGGAAGACGCAGCACCCGGATCGGTGTGAGGCGTGTGAGGAGGTGTTTGATGAGGAGAGGTGGGCGAAGCGGGTGTATAATCCGTTCAAGGTGGTGGTGAGGCCGGCGGCGTGGTGTAGGAGGTGTGTGGAGGGGAAGACGAATCCGAATGCGCCGGGAGGTGGGAAGGGTGGGAAGGGGGGTATTGGGGGACGGTTTGATTTGGGGGTTGGTGGGCCGGTGGTGGTTGATGGGGATGGTGAGGGTGCAGAGGGCGGAAACGGGGAGAGTCACAGAAGGAAGGGGGTGTTGGAGGATGTGGTGCCTATGTGGAGGTTGAGGGTTGGTGGGGATGAGGAGTGAGTGAAGAAGCATGGGGTAAAGGGGAAGTCAAGGAGTTGAAGGGGGGGAGGCGGATAAAATGGATGGATGGCTGCATGGTAGGGGATGGTAGGGGATGGTAGGTATGCTTCTTATCACAGACTCGATGGGTTCGAGGATCTCTCGGGATCATGACTGCATTTCTTTACAGTTGATGACGGATTGAACTTACGGGTGTCGACATTTACTGATCTACATAGAAGTCTGGCGTGTCAGAAGAGACAGTGGAAGGATGGATGGCATGAAGACCAGATTGCGTTGCGTTTTCATTCAGTTACGGAGATGAAAGAGATTCTTTCAAGTCATATGCCTTGAAGGATCAAGATAGTATGACCCGATTTCGAGGTTAGACCAGCAATAAAAAGAAGTGTTTTCAAGGGTCGATTTGATGCATAAGAAACTGAAGGAGCCGAGTGGAAGCAGAGGCAAGGGCTGCCCTCTGTCGCCTTCAATTCCCAACTGTAACGGAAGAAACTCGTGCCCCACCAAATCTTCATTCTTTTGCCAAAGGATAAAGTTCTTCAGCCAAGTCTTCCGCGATGTAAGAAGGTGCGTTGTAGACCTGGCCTGCTAATTAAACCGTTCCTCACTATTTCGTAACCAAGTCACCAGTCAGACATTTCCCACCGTCCAATTTCACTTCTCAGTCTCACTTCTGGGCTTCTCTTTCTTCCATTGCCTTCAACAGCTACAGTTAACACCCCAAGCTCAAATTCCACATATGTACTTCCGATCTGCCTTCGCTCAATTATCTCAGGGACCCATCTCTTCATCCGATTAAACTATGTCAAAAAGCTGCTCACAACCACTATGACTTCGCATGAACAGCTGAACTCTCTTTTCCCCCCTTTCCCCCCTTCCCTTTGACACCCCCTCTTCCCATAAATAACCCTTTAAAACTCACTCTTTCAACCATTCTGCACCCTGTCTTTTCGCTTTCGCGTCACCTCTCATGATGGATGATGGTCCCCTTCCAAAACCTCCAAAGGCCACCGAATCCACCCTGCATGTTCCTCATCCAAAATATCTTTGGCTCTCATAATCAAATGATCTCCCCACCCCTGCAACCACCACTGTCGCTCATGGTGTTTGAGTAAGATGCCGAAATGGGCAAAGATGGCCACGGCTTCTTGGGTGGGAATCTTGAGTAGCGGGACGAGCGAGTCGGAGACGGCCCAGAGCCAGAGCATGGCGTCTAGGACGTCACCACCTCCTTGGGTATTGGGGTTGGAGTTGGAGTTGGAGTTGGGGGAGTCATCGGCGGCGGCGGCGGCGCATGTGGTGAGGGTTGGGGTCGTTGTGGTCATTGTGCTGGGTGAGGACGTGGCCGTGGTCGTGGATGGGGAGGTAGAAGAAGAACAAGTCAGGTGCGTGAGCGACAGTTCGAGTTCGTCAATGGCGAAAAGATAAGTGTGAAGGTAAGGATTGGCGGTGTCTTTGCTGATGAGCTCGCGGAGATGGGCCAGCGGTCCGGGGGGCTTGGGTATCCCACTCCTACTTGAAGTCGTTCTCTTTTGTTCGGTTGGCGTTCCAGCGCTAGATGGGTTCGGTGTCGCGGTACTAGACGGTGAGGCGCTGCAAGAAGAATCCGACGACTCGCCCCTCGCCTCTTTCCACCTCCTCCCTCCATACGCCAGGAAAGGCTTCAGAAACTCTCGATGCGCTTCATTGTTCATAATGAAGTTGCTAAGCGACTTGGGGCCGTTAACGAGGAAGGCCCAATCGGGAAAGTTCAGTCCACCGCCTGCCGTGCCTATCCCCATCCCCATGCCCGCTTCGGACCCCAATCCCGTACCCTCCGGACCCCCCCTTCTATCGCCATTGCTCAGCCCATTACTCTCCGCATGCCTTCTCTGCTCATGTTGATCCAAAACATAGACCCTCCCATCGCCCCTCCTGCCCCTCGGGCTTGCAAGCGCGACATAGATAGTCAGATTCGCAAAGAGGTACAAGCCCAGTTCGTCCTCTTCCCGTTCTATAACGGGTAGCATCCGCCTCATGGCTTCTCTGGTCGCTTTTTGGTGGAGCAGGATGCCCTGGGCAGTGTAGAAATCTCGCTTTTGGGGACATGATTGTTGGAAGGCTAGGTGGAGGGCCGAGACGGAGAGCAAGACGCGGAGGAGGTAGGAGGAAGAGGGGGATGAGGAGGAGAGGGAGAAGGCGAGATTGACGACGGAGGTGCGCCAGAAGTTGGCGACGGTGGGGTCGGTGGTGAGGGTCAGGTAGGTTGAGAAGGTGAAGTTGTGGAGGAGAAGGAGGTGAAGGGTTGGAAGGGGGTCGTCGTCATTGTCGTCATTGTTTTCGATTATTGGGTTGTTGATGGCTGGGTTGGGGTAGTAAATGGGATTGATGGGAGTGCTGTGTGGTGATGACGATGATGATGATAATGATGGTGGAGGTTCGACATGTGGGTGGTGTGCCGGTGAAAGTGGCGATGGTGATTGGAATTGCTGGGACTGGGTGATGGGACTTGGTGTTTGCGACGACTGTGGCCTGGGTCTAGTTCTAGGCGGCAGGTTCGCTTTCATGGACAGAAAGGGACATTGCAGCCCGTGGGAAATGCAATTGATGCATGACGGGTGGTGTTCGTCGCACTGGAGAAGGGTCAATACGGTGTCATGTCATGTCGTGCCAAAAGGGGGGCGGACTGGATTGATGATACCTTGATCTTGCGGGCCTTACACGCCGTACAACCCGTCCGACTCTTTCGGTGCGCCCGCCGGATCGGACCAATCCCAGACGGCGAGTCCGTCATTTTGGGTAGGTAATGGTAGGTAGTAGGTATGAGAGGGTGGGTCACCAACTTGCCGTGTATGTCGTCCTCGTTGCCTCTCGGTCTCGCCAAGCTAACATGTGTGAATTTGCCATCAGATGAAGTCCAGTCGCATAACAGTCACCTCGGTGCTAGCCAGACAGTCCAAAGTTCTCACTCAGCGATGGTTCCGCCAACAATAAAGCTGCTGATGACAAAGCAAGGGAAGCTGAGCTCACTCTGTCGCAAGTCAGCACGCCCAGGCGGCAAACAGGCCCGACGATCTTTCTTTTTCGTTATCAGTGCTCGGCAATTAGCGTAGGGCTGAAAATAAGCTGCCACTGTGCTATCTATGTACTGACTCCTGTGAAACCTTCTAGAAGACCGTTATCAGAGACAGCCACGACAGGACACAATTAGATCACCTTCCGGCAATTCGGTTGTCATGATTGTGAGGCCGACACGCTTCTTTTCTTTCTTGCAAAACGAGTGCAAACCCTCATCGGTCTTCGGCTTCTCTCGTAATGAAGGAGTGTTGGGCAATGGAGGTGGAAATGACAAACCACCAACTCAAAGTGCGGCCTTCCTGTGATGTGGGGATCATCGATGCTCACTCCCTCCCAGTGGCGTGTATCTATTCGGAGGCAAGCTACTTGTAGCCAATAGGCATCATTTCTATCCGACGCACCCCCCCACCAAACAAGCGTCGGTCGTAAAGACGGGGGCCCTTCCCTGAAAGAGTCAGGTACCGCCGCATCTCCGACTCCTCCTGTGCTGCTGCAGAAAGGAACGACGAGAGAAATTGATGCTTGACGCTTTTCTATGAGAAGAAGACCAGATAGTAATACTGCGAGTCTGGGTGTTGACAAATCACAGCTCTCGGTGAGCGATGGAAATGGGGATTCAGGAGGATCTTGAGTCGTATTACACTGTATAGAGGTATGTACATCGGACGCAGTAGTACATATGTATGTATGTAGAGGCGGCTGTGTCTGACGCCGACGGACCTACGGGATCACGGATAACTTTTGGCCCGTTGCCGCCCTTCCTTCGTTTGCTGGGTCTAGCTTTGTTGGAACTTTGCGATTGGTTTTTTTTTTGAGTTTTTGGGAGGAGGAGAAGTGGAAGATTAAAACCCAAGCCCGTTCCCTTCCTTCTCTCTCCCGACTCTTACTCTTCTCGGGATTTCTCTCTAGGGCTTTTTTTCAATTTCCATTTTTTGGGGGGTTGGTTGTATCACCACCGACGAAAACACTCATTCAGGATCAATCGAGTCGCATTTGATCTTGCATATCATTTCGTACAACCCGATATTCAGGTCGAGGTCGCCAGTCCCGACACCACATTCGGTCTCCACCAATCCGGGCCGGCGCCGATTGCTTTCTCGTCTCCACCTCTCCGTTCCGGACCCCGATTCAACCCCGATTTACACTACGGGATCACCACTTCTATAATAATCCATCGCAATCAAGCAACCCACACAATGTCTACAACAGCCTCGGCCGGCCTACCGGCCTCCACACCCCAATTCCATCCGGGGTACGACACCTGCACCGAAGTGACGGCCATCTGCCGCGTCGAATACACCACCCTCGGTTACTACCCCAACCAAGGCGTCAACATCTTTTTGGCGATCGGCTTTGGTCTGTGTGCTATTATAACGCTTGTTATCGGTATCTGGAAGCGAACGTGGGGATACTCCATCGCCATCACAGCGGGGTGTATTTTGGAGTGTGCTGGTTCGTCTTTCTGTCTTTTCCTCCCTCTTTTCGCTCTTTCCCCTTCCCTATTTTTCCCTCTTTCCCCCCTCCTTCTCTTTCTCCCCCCCCCCCCCCTTTCATCCCCCATCCCCTACTTAGTATCCCCCCCAAACCACTAACAATGTGAGGAAAAAAAACGCATCCCGCGCCCTCCTCTCCCTCAACCCATGGAACGGCTCCGCATTCAAGACCCAAATCGTCTCCATCATCCTCGGCCCCACCCTCATCTGCATCGGCCTCTACCTAACCCTCAAACACATCATCGCCTCCCTCTCCCCTTCCTTATCCCCCTTCCGCCCGCGCTTTTATCCTCTCTTCTTCGTCCCCGCCGACGTTTCTTGCTTAGTAATCCAAGCCATAGGCGGAGGCATCGCCGCCTCAGCCGGAAAAGATAACTACACTCTTCTGCAACACGGTAACCGCGTCATTATAGCAGGTATCGTCCTACAAGTCGTTGTACTAGGCGCATTCGGGATTTTATCTAGTATTTTCTTGCTTAGAGCCAAAAAGTATTTCCGCGGGGTGCAGGAACAGACAACGATGGAGAAACAGACATGGCAAGATAAGAAAACGAGAATGTTTCTATGGGCCATGGCGGGCGGGTACGCGACGTTGTTGATACGGTGCATTTATCGGATTGCTGAGATGGCGGGCGGGTGGGGAAACGAAATCATGCAGGATGAGCCGAGTTTTGTGGTGTTGGAGAGTTTCATGGTGTTGATTGCTTGTGTGCTGTTTACGGCGTTTGCGCCGGGGTGGTGGTTTCCGTGGATGAGTCATTCCGAAAAGGTAAATCCTGGGTTGAGGGCGGAGAGGGCGGCGAGGGAAGGAGGTGGTGGTGGACAGGAAATCGGGGAGACGAGTTCGGGAAATGAAAAGGTTGTTTCTGTGTAAGAGGGGAGGGAAGTGGTGATGATGTGGATGGGAAGAGAATGAGGAATGATGTGTTGGATGCCTTGAAATGGTTGATTCTTATTTTTTTTTTCTGGTTATAGATGGGATATCACTGAAGCGTTCACTATCTGTTCGATGCATGCAGTACCGACATTAATGAAAGCAATTCTTGTATGGACCAGTCAGCTCGAGACACGAGAGCTTGTAGCAGAATCAACTTGACGACCATCATAGTTCATCAATCCCAAAAGCATCATGAACATAACCATACCTACACTTACAACCGATCCTTGGTACCTCATTAGAAATCCCTGATAACCCATACAAACCCCAAACGACCTTATCATATCATAACCCATTCCCGTTCAGTTACCCATCATAGACACATACAAAGACAACTAAGCAGCAGCAGCAACCTGCTCCTTCTCACCCGCCTCATCAGCAGGCGCCAGACCCGCCTTGGACGGTCCCATCACACAAATCCCCTCCTTGGAAAAGCGCGAACCATGCACGGGGCAATCAAAGCTCTTCTCGACGTGGTTCCAGCACACGACTCCCTTGAGATGGGGGCAGAAAGCGCTAAACTGCTTGACGTTGCCATTCTCATCCTTGTAGACAGCAAGTGGCTTCTTGGTGCCCTGTTGTTGTTTTTTGTCTTTCGTCAGCATCATTCTGGAAAAAAGAAAAGAGGAAAGACATACCTTGTTCAAAACACCACCACACCCCCTCGGCAAATCCTCAATATCCTCAATATCCGTCTGCACCACCCGCTTATACTGCGTATTGATCTGCAAATCATGGCTCACCATACTCGGCAGACTCTTCAGCATGCTCCCCACGCGCTTGGGACTGTACAGTCCCGCCCAGGGATTCCTGACCCCGTCAATCTCATCCGCCAACAATCTGCCCGCCAACACACCATGCGTCAACCCATCGCCCGAGTCACCCGTAACAATATAAATCTTGTCGCACCCCTGGTTCTTGCCGATATAGCCCATGTAATCGACCGGCTCGAAAATCTGGCCAGACCACTTATAGTCGGTGCTCCCTGCCTGGGGGAACCGTTCCCTTGTCCACTTCTCCAGTTCGTCAAAGCGGGGAGTCTCCTCCTCCTGTCCGACCTTGTGGTCACACCCGCCGACAACGAGGTAATCGTCTTTTTCGTCGCAGGCGGTTAGGCGCACGTACTTGTACGCTTCTGCATTGTCGTAGAGCAGACAGTCCTCGACGGACCCCTTGGGCACGCGCACGGCGATGCAGTAGGAGCGATAGAACTCGAGCTGGATGATGACTGAGAGCTTCTGCAGGGGGACGCAGGTGGCTTCAATGGCGTTTTCGGCTTTGATGGTGTGTCCTCCTTCGGTTTGGATTTCCACGGTCTTGTGGCCGATGCCCAAGAGCTCGATGCCTTTTTCTTTAATGTCCATGACGCGGGTGCGGGCGTAGCATTGGAAGTTGGGCTGGGTCTTGAGCCAGTTGAGGACGCCGACGAGGTACTTGGTGGGGTGGAAGGTAGCTTGGTTGTCGGCTACCATGCCGCCGCGTTGGTCGATGGAGGAGGTCCAGCCGCGGACTGTCAGGTTGGGCTGTCGGACCACGCTCGTGTTAGCTTCGTTGCCTTTCATCAAGGGGGAGAAGAATGGGGAAAGGGACGCACATCAAACCTCGTCTCCAACCCAATTTTCCTCTGATACTCCGCCTCCTCCTTCAACTCCTCCAACTCATCCTCATGCTTCTTCTCGCCCACGGTGAACTGGCTAATATCGTACGCCGGCAACCGGCGATACTCGCACTCAATGTTCAACTCCTCGGCAATCTCCCCAATCCTATCTCTGGCCCACGCATGACTAGCAGCCGCCTGCTTGGCGCCGTCCTCGCCGTGCTTCTTGGCAATTTCCAGAAAGCCGTCGTCCAAATCGTTGGTCAAGTGGCCCGAGGTGCGGCCGGTTTCGCCTGAAAGCACATTGCGGGCCTCGATGAGCGTGACTTGCTTGCCGCGCTTGACGAGCTCGTAGGCGGTGGAAATACCCGCGATACCGGCGCCGATGATGGCGATGTCGGTTTCGAGGTCTTTGTCGAGGGAAAGGAATTCGGGGATCTGGGACCAGGGCAGTTTGTGTGTCCAGACGGGCTCGGTGGAGCCCGAGGTTTGCATGGAGCGGTAGGGTTCCGTGTTGATTTGGGTCATGGTTGCGAAGGTGTGTCTGGGGGGGAAGTCTGGGTTAGACAGGCCATCGATGTTTGTTACCTAAGAGTACCTAGAGGTTGGACAGACATACCTAGGAGTGACGGCCTGTACTTGAGAAAGTGCCTGATAACGAGGGACAGTTGTGCGGGTCTGAGGGACAGATACTGGTGGTTGTGTTTGGGTGGTGATGGCGCGGGTAGAAGTGCTTCCCCTCAACTTCTTATAAGAGAATGGGGTTGCTGCGGTGACGTCACGAGTCGCAGAGAATGCGGAAATGCGGCCAGACACGGCGTTTCTGGTCAAAAGACGGGTGGTTTGTCTCTGGCAAGTTGATGCGAAAATAGCCATTTCTTAGTATGAGGAAAGGAAAGGGAGAGATGTGGGAATCGCTCGCGTTGTTGTGTGGTGACGGACTGACAAAGAAAGTAAACAAACGAGAAATTGTTTCAGACGATGAGGAAGAGGAGGAAGAAGTCAAGTACCTTGATGGATCTACATATTTTTGTTTGCGGGGAAGTTGAGATGCCGACAAGAAAGTGAGATTCAAAAGCGAAGCTGCAATTGGCCTACGGTGTTTCGTCCGATATAAATACCATGTTCCTGATCGGTTTTGTTTACGTCTTGATGGCTGTGACGATGGCTGTACCACTTGCAGAAAGTCATGACGACATTATATTGGCCATCAAAGGGGTAATTGAGCGGGGAACATGGGGTATACCGATCGTTTTACGTACTTGTACACCACAGCGTGCCTGGTAGGGCGTGTGGATGGATATGGATCACTGCCGACACTCAAGACCACTCTGTCTCGGGTAGACATGCTTGTTTCATTGTAGTTCATCAACAGTTTGTGTGTACCTCATTGGTATGGCGTGGGAGTAGTACAAGGTAAACCCTAACCCGAGCGAACCCCCAAGATGGGAACTGTTTGTTGTCCGTTTGTGTCTTGGGATGACGAAGACATGGTTTCTTCCCCGCTGTCAATTCTGTCTGTTGCAAGAAGTGGCAGGCACTGAACTTGCTACTTTTCAAGCTTTGCTCTATCTTCTTGAACATGTCACCCCTTTAATCTTCCCGTCAGCCACCAGCAGCATCCCCGGGTCTGATTGCTTCCTGACACACTGAACCCCAACCCTAGGTCGCCAGCACCAATCCAATCGCCCTCCGTCAGGCACAGACCAACCCCTCCATGTCATCTTTTCCTTTTCTTCTTCCTTTCAAAAAAAAACGCAACATCAACAAACCCATCACGCCCCATCAACCTTCATCCCAAAAACTTCACTCTCAACCTTCCACCTCTTAGCTTCCTTTCCTCTTCCCAGCATTTCAACCTCCTCAGGACTAACTTCCTCCCTCTTCTTCCCCACCCAAACCACTACCCCGCTCTCCTCATCCTCCTCCTTGTCCTTCCCACATACAACCCTGACCCCCACCTTTCCCTCCTCCGCCAACTCCTTGAGTTTATCTCCATCGACAATCGGCTCCCTCAACACCACCTCCTGACTCTTCTCTTCTCCGGGACCCAAGGTGACCAGCGCATCCTCGGGAGGAGGCATGGCGCGGTTGATCATCAGCTGAGGGAAATCGATCTTGTTGGAAGGGTCGGAAGGGGAAGAGACTTGGATGAGCCCGAGTTGGAGGGCGAGGGAGTCGAGAGGGGAGGACCAGGTGAGCAGGGTGACGGGGATATCGGGGGAGGTGTTGGCGAGGGTAAGAAGGACGGTGGGCGGAGAGAGAGAGGGCGAAGGTTGCGAGATGGAGAGGGAGAGAGGAATGGGGGACTGGGAGGACATTTTGAGAGGTGGTGTTCGGTGAGAAGATGGCTAGCGCTGAGGAAGTCGACGGCGGAAGTCGTTAAAATGCGCTTGACGAAGAGTGTTTGAGTTCTTGCTGATTGCTGACAATGGCCCAGGGTTTGAATGAAACCGGCAATGTGAACCGATCAAATTGTGAGTTGATTGAGGAAGAATCAATGTTGCACTGTTGACATCCTACTATCAGCAAAAGATAAGGCAAGATCAAGTGGCTGCGATAGATACCTATCACAGCGTTACTTACCTCGGCTTTTATCACCTGTTCGTCGGGATACAGGGCGGGGTCAGCAAGGCGAGACTGCGGCACCGGAGACTTTCGAGGACAGGAAGCAATCAAGATGCCAGTTCAAAGACAATGTCAGGTCGAGAGATGCTGCACAGCAGTCCATCGGCTTTCATAACAGTCCGATCTCTCTTGCGGTCAAGATTACGAGAATCCCACGTCCTCATATCTGCCTTGGCGCCAGCTGTCTCAACTGACGGAACGCTTGACGATGTCTTCATGCACGTCAAGGATCAAGGCAGACAGACAATCGGCTCCATCTTCACTGTAACCTCGGCACAGCCCAGCCGATGGCCCAGCTAATGCTATCCCCACCTTCCCTTCTGGTTCTGCCCTCCAGTTTCAGCCATTGTCTAACTCCGATTCGCTGCACCGTCACTTACACGATATACACACCCACCTTGACACCCTCACGTCACAACGGAAGCGAGCAAGTCACACGAACGATTGTTACCTTGTTCTCTCAACGATCGATCCTCTACTACAGCAAAGTCATCACCGCTCGCTAAACTTCCTTCATTGGTCATTCCGCCATGAGGCGTAACGAGGTGCAAGAGACATCTTCATCACAGATGACGATCGTGCATCCACCCCACAAGCTGGGCTTGGGATCCCCAGGGGCAAAGGAAAAGGAGGCTTTCCCCATACCCCACGTCTTCTAGGAACATTGTGAGAATTTCAACTTCTCGGCCATTGACACGAATCGCAACCGACAAGCTCACAGAACTGCATCGAACTTGTGCCCTAAATTGCCAGAGCAATCAAATTCTCCCGTGATAGTGATAAAGACCGCACATCAGAGCCAACTATTGTCTTCACATAAGGCAGCTACGGATATGAAGCCTACATCAGGAAGGTGAAGCTAAAGAAGACACGAGAATGCCACCTCGTCCTGGCATGGGCATGGGGGAGGGCAACGAGGATCCGGCATTGTTCCGACGATATCAGGAACAGAGCTGCGGGAAGATCGCCAGTCGGCAGCCAAGTTCCGGCAAACACAGAGGAGGAAGGTCTCGCTGAGATCGACATTCAGACAGTGGAGGTGCACCGCACTGACCAACGGCGGAATCCGATGAGGGGCGTCTTGAACGGTAGGGTTTTGGTGAACAGATGTCTGATATAGGTGGATGAATACCTACTGACTTCATGTTCATGCATTAGAGACGAGAAATCATGAACCAAAGTCACACCCATCATGGAATCCAGCAACTCAAGACCGTGATAATGATTTGGACCGGTGGACATCAGCCTCAGGCCTGTCAAAACTCTAATCCCGTTCCAACCCCGGAGCTAGTCCAATTCCCCGCAAATCCGGATGGCAACAAGAACTATGGAGCAATGAAACCCTCCAATCATTGCATGTAGGAACGGATCAATTGCCATGCGACTCTGAAACCGCCTTGGGCACAACCTCCTTCCAAACCGAGTTATTCTCGACACCCTCTTCGGCAAAGCCCCATGTCTCGAGCCCTTCAGCCCAGCCTTCGGGATGGAGCGACGCCAAGCAGGGGGGTTAGCCTTGCTTGGTTGCTTACAAACTGACGACCCCGGAATTTCTGTGTCATCACCGCCCGCATTTCGCTTTCGTTGACTGTGCCTAGCTGTCGCTAGAATATGGACGATTATACATTATTTGCCGGAAGCTGCCCCAAATGCTGAGGCATTACTGCGGCGTTAATGAGTTCACCGCCTCCAAGCTAAGCTAGCCGGTGGACTGTGGGTTACTAGCGGGATGGGATTCCCCATATTCGACTATTGCCAAACTCCGGACTCCGTCCCTTCCTCAGTTTTGGCTGACCAGGAACAAGACTCTTTGACCGAACCGGTGGGACACTTAATTCCCACTCCCGCAAGACACGGGTTTATGCGCCTTGATTCAACTTCCCGAGACATCAACTGCCATTACCAGACATGGAACCCCCATGGAACCATTGAGAGCCGCACCTTGATTCATGTCATACTACTTCGTCTTATCTGAAGCCACGTGCAAAAACGACATTCCTTTCTCGTCTCCACATCCGCCTGGATGTCCATCGGCTGCCAGGCACACTGCAACTTCGGCAACTTCTCTTCTCCATCTTCCTATTTGCGTATAGTCTGGCTTTGGGGGTGACGGATGAAGGCCGGCGTTTGGCCGAACCTTAGCATCATGGCATCGGGAAAGAGTCGACTTCCGACTCCTACTTAAGGCGGCATCCTCCTCCCTCTGAGTCGGACCAAGAGATCAGCAGTGCTCTCCAGACAACTCAGTTCGCACCTCAACAACAGCCTTCGCAACAATGAAGTTCCTCGCCGGTCTCTCCCTCCTTGCCTCCGTGGCTTCCGCCATGAGCGTTGACTTGACTCAGCGCGGTGGCCCCCTCGACGTCAAGATCGAGGTCGTCAACAACACCAACGTCAAGGCCAGCATCACCAACACCGGCAAGGAGCATCTGAAGGTCCTCAAGACTGGTTCCATCCTCGACAACGCCGCTGTTGAGAAGACCCAGATCTTTTCTCCTTGTAAGTCCTCAGTCTTGACCGCCTTCTCACGTCACTAGTCCACAGTCTTGGCATCGTGCAGCCCCCATCCTCCTGTCTTGGCCCCCCACAACACACAATACAACAAACTAACACTCTCCAGCCGGCCCCGTCGCCTTCGATGGTCTCCGCCTCCGCATCGCCACCTCTGCCCTCCCGGAGGATGCCTTCCAGCTGATCGCCCCCGGCGAGACCGTCGAGACCTCCTGGGACTCGGCCGAGGTCCACGACCTCTCCCAGGGCGGCTCCTTCGACGTCAAGGTTGCCGGCATCCTGCAGTACGCCCACGTCAACTCGACTGAGCTCAAGGGCACCCTCCCCTACTCGTCCAACATCGTGACCGCTTCCGTCGATGGCGCCGCTGCTTCCCAGGCCCGCCGCGTCTTCCACGAGAAGCGCTCCATCGTTCAGTCCGACTGCACCGGCTCCCGCGGCTCCGCCACCCGCACGGCCATGTCCAACTGCCGCGCGCTCGCCGCCAGCGCCAGCCAGGTCGCTTCATCCGGTTCCGCCTCCAAGATGACCGAGTACTTCAAGTCTTCGTCCTCGTCCACCCGCTCCACCGTCGCCGGCGTTTTCGCCCGCGTCGCTAACGAGTGCGGCTCCACCACCTCCGGCTACGCCCGCTACTACTGCTCTGACGTCTACAATGCTTGCTCGTCTGGTGTCCTCGCCTACACCCTCCCCAGCTCTAGCTTCATGGTCAACTGCCCGCTGTACTTCAGCGCGCTGTCCAGCTTGAGCAGCCAGTGCCATGCCCAGGATCAGGCTACCACCACCCTCCATGAGGTCACCCACTTGAGCCAGATCAAGGGCACCTCGGACCAGAGCGGATGCTATGGCTACAGCTGCGTGCGCAGCTTGTCTGCTAGCCAGAACTTGAACCATGCTGATACTTATGCCTTGTTTGCCAACTGTGAGTTACTCTGCCTTTTCTCGTTTGTGCTATTTTCTTGGGACGGGACATGGGCTAACGGGTGAATTTAGCTATCTACGTTGGCTGCTAAGCGCATGTCACTCACATGTACTCACATGGCTATGCCACGTATGGAAACGAAGTTGATGAGTGTTTGGAAATGAATTGACGCAGTTGGGAAAGAGATGAGGAGTTGCCGGGTATCTGTCATGGTAACTCGGTGACATGGACAGTGGTGTTGGACTGTTGTGTGTCAGAGTGTTGTTCTCTTCTCACTGAGGTGTCTGACACCTCCTTTTGGACAAGCAAGTTCTATCTCCCTTCCTTGGATAGAAGTTCGCGGTCCACCCTGTGTATATGGGACTCGCTACCAGGTAATTAACTGGTGGTAAATGAATGAAGTAAAATTGCTGGGAAAACACGTTTCTCTGTTGCGATTGAGTGACTTACTGCGAGGTAGGTACTTTGGTGACGCACAAAGCACCGCAGCTGTAAGTGCTGGCCAACTTTCCACTTTGTTCAACGGCCGTTCTTGCACAAAGTGAAACCAAAAATCAACAAGAAAGTGCACACCTGATAAATGCCCCTGATTTCAATGATAAGGTCAGATTCCGTAGGTTCTTACTAGTTCTTCATGTTTCCACCTTAGATTCCCAGTGTTCTTCAACGAACCACCGAACCAGTGGATCAACGCCCAAGGATCAAAGATCAAAGATGGACTATCACCACCACCAAAACCAGTTTCAACAGAACGGACATGCGAACAACCATCCCCCCTCCTTCTACACCTCCATGTCTTTGACTTCCTCCCTTGTAAACCGTACATCTACAGGTAGAAATCCGCGACCCATTCTCCACTCACCAACTCAGTCCTTCCTCTCCCGCTACACCCATCCCCATGTGCAGTCAAAGACCAGATTCCACCAAACAGCTACCGTCGAGGAAATCATGACACACCTAACGACCATCTACACCATGCATATCATGTCCAGAGGCACCGATTATACTTATATTACAGCGGGGGCATCGACATGCGGCTCTAGAGGTACCTCTACATATAGGTACCTCTATATGTCCAGAGCACAAGGGGCATACAGCAAGGAATTCATGTTCCCGCGCTATTATCATCACTGGAGGATCTGTACGATGATCAAACGACGGATGCCAAATTTGAAGCAGCGCGAAGTGGTGTCAAGATGGGGGAGTGGGAACTGTGCGGGTCGGGTGGGCAGGGATATGAGGGTTGGACAGGGTTGGAAGGGTTGGGTCGGTAGGTATTGGTGGTGCGAGGCTTGAGGCCTGAAGGTAGAGGGTCGGTAGAGGTTGAGGAGGAGGTTTGAGGGCTTAAAGAGGGGGTTCAAGAAGGGGAGAGAGATGGATGGGAAGGAAGGGAGGGAGGGATGTAGACAAAGACTGCACGCCCGGAGAGGAGAGATTAGGTAGGTAGGTGCCTCTAGAGAAGTAGCGAGAGAGGGTGTAGGAGCGGCAGCAAGGAGGGCACAAGATTGGGAAGGGCTGTGAATGGATGATATGAGGCCGGGGAATGGAGGTCGAGTTCTGGTGCCAACCGTTCAGTTGGGGTGTTAGGGGTACGGGTTCATTAGGGTTGACGATGGGGAGTGGAAAGTAGCTGGAAGTTGCATTGGTCTTGAGGAAGGAAGTTAGGAACAAGGAGTGGAAGTGGGAGTGGGAGTGGGAGTCAGGAAGAAGATATGGCCATTATGGCTTAAATGAGACGACGACTTCAGGTACATATAGGTGACACTGCAATTGTCAACACTGCAACGAACCGGGCACGATGTACCAAGCTGGAGTCAACTCAAGTTTTGACTACCGTCTCCTTCATAAGCCTGCCGACTAAGGTAGGTACCTTCCACCTATTTTCCCTCTCCTCGACTTCATCGTCACTTTTTCCAAGTCGTTTTTTTATGCACATCCTCATTTAGATCCCCCCCTTTTTTTTATTCTTAGGTATGCTGACCCTGAGCCCCAGCCCCTGGCCAAATCAAACCTAACGCTTCCCACTCTTGCCCGAGGAACCCTTACCCCCCCATTCCGTTTCCGTGTACGTCTCAATCACCTCGGTAGTGGTCTCAATCGTTTCCCACACATGAGTGGAGCCTGAACTTGGAGCCTGAGCCCGATCCAGACGAGGAAGAACCACCGCCTGAGGAGGAACCGCCTGAGGAACCGCCAGAGAAGGAAGAGGAACCACCGCCGCCGTTGCCACGGCCGATTTCGATGGTAGAACCGGAGTCGTTGGAGTCGGAGCTGGACATTTTTATGTTGTTGGTATTCACTTTGGACTGGAGGATTGGTGTGGATTGTAATTGATGGTTAACCTCGTGGGTGTTGTGGATGTTGATTCTGATAGAGATAGGTAGTGAAGGAGAAGAAGTGGGTATGAATGGGGGTGGAGAGGTCCGAGAAGATATACCTGTTCCTCGAATTAGCCCTGATACACCGTACATGGCTGTGTCAACTGTGTCCGACGATTTGAAATGTGTTTGCACGATGCAGTGTGTTCGAGATGTCAGTGGTAAGTCATTCAATCATCCCGTTGAGATTGGAAAGTTTGATAGCTCCGTGAGATCCAACATGCTGAGGAGAGTAGGGTATCTGTTCAGCCGTCGTCTTGAAGTCAAACAGTTTGCTACCACTAACCAACATGAACACCAACTGAATTTCGCGAGTGGAAACCGAGCTGCAAACTCGACATAAATGCTCTAAGGATCATTCGTCTCTACGTCCAGTGCACGTCTATATCGTATCCAACAAGCTCAAGTTCACTCTTTCCTATTTATGTTTGTACGTGGATACCGAGTTCATATCCCTAGAGGTAAGTAGGTAGATATCTCTACAAACTTGTTCTTCTAAGTCCAGCTACCCACCACTATTCATGTTCAACATTCCTCGCTCCCAGATTTACCCACTTACGGCTTCGTTGAATTAGCCGGCGTAAATGCAATAGTGATGGTAGTGGTGACAGTGATCGTTCCGGGAGCAGGTGCTGTCCCTCCAATTTCCCCAGAGGTTGAACTAAAAGAGCCAGAGGTACCAAAGCCGGAAGATCCAGCGGTACAGGTGGTGGTCACGGAAGACACTTTGGGTTCTTTGTCCCAGGTGTGGGATGGGTTGTTTGAACTCATGTTGGAGCGTATAGGTATCTAGGGTCAAAAAGGGGCAGGTAAGGGCGACTAGGGGGGGGAGAGTGCAGGTACAAATGTTGAAGGAAGATAGAAAGCTCAAAGTTGACAAGCTTGAGTCGTACTTATACATGGTTTGTCTGGGTCTAAGCGGTGAAGAGGAAGAGGCTAATCTAGCTTCTCGAGTCCATGGCTCAACCAAGTGCAAGCACGGGGAACCAACACAAGTCATCAAGGGTCATTTGGTATTACCAGTTGGTAGATGTCTCGGGGGAATCTGAACCTTCCCATACACAGGTCAAGAGGTGAGGCCTAATTCCTTTATGATGGTGGTATAGAAGATGAAGGATGAGATGTTAATTGTGATCAATGAATGGAAAACCGAACCACAATAACTCATTGAGCCACAAGGGATGGACTGTTAATGGAAAAACCCTCCATTTTCTTGTCCCGACGGGATGTTCCCTGAAATCTCGGAGTGAACTCGAAGGGGACCTGATATAACCAGCCTCTCCCTCCCAAACAGACACGTGCGTTTCAGGCTCCCTCACTTACCTAGGTACCCATTCCCTTGACCACCACACCTACAGATAGCTCAAAGTGGAGACAAAACCGCCAACATGTCCTCCTCAAACACCTCTACCTCCGACACCATCACATCTTCCACTTCACAAGGTAGTTCTTCCTCGAACAACAATACCACCTCGTCAACCACGACCAGCTCCAGTAATACGACGTCCAGTTCTACCGGATCAACGAACACCACCTCCACGTCCACTTCCTCCGACCCCTTGGCGGCGTTTGACCGTCTCAGGATCGAGGGGATATGCAGTACTGGGGGAGCAAGAATGGTTGACGAAGAGAAGGGACAGACGGGGTAAATAAAAAAAATAGAAAAGGAAAATAATTACAAGGAAGGAAATTAGGTACCAAGAGAAGGGATGGAGTAGAGGTGATACAATATTAGATGCAGGTGATATCAGCCTAGGGGCAAGCAGTGAGGTAGTATAGCTTCGAACTGGCCAGCTGAAAGCTCGCGAGGTAGGTAGAAGAACAACCGGATATGTTGAGGTTTGCAGCGCGTCTAGTTATAGGTATGTTCTACGAGATCCTTTGCTCTTTCTTGTAGCAGCAGGTTTCGCATGTTGTTTGTCATATGCTTGAATGTTCTTTTCTAGGGAAAGCCTCCCCGCACCCTGTCGATTCCTACACGTACCCTCCCCTACAAAGAAAAGTGGGACTACAGTTGTATGATACCTGATATTGAAATTCCCGTTTTTGCCCACTAAATCGAGTCTTTCAAATATACGCAATATCCCCTCTAACTTAATTGTTTCTTTTACTCTTTTTCATACAGCTATTTACATATAATACTGCAACGCACAATACCGCAACATACTACACCGCAACGCACTATACTCCCTCAATCTATTAATAACCCTCTTAAAGTGTATAATCTTATTTAAATTAATTGATTTTAATCGCTTTTAATTACTAACAAACGCTCTAAATATTATTTGAAGCCCCCCCGTTAGCGCAACCCCTCTCTCTAGTACAACCCCGTTGTTGTTATTGTTATTATAATTTAAATACTTTATTTATTACCTTCGCTAGCGATGCCTCCTTCGACCCCGATATTGAGTAGGAAGTACCCACTAGCGATACTATATTTACTCTCCCTCTCTAACTTACGTTTAATACTATTTATTTTAAAGTCATTAAATTATATTATTACTACTAGTTTAATATTATTACCAAGCGTAGTTATAAATACAATAAATTATATAACTTAGAGTTAAACAGTAAGCGGTAGAAAGTAGTACTATATTGTAACTACGCTAAATTATAAAAATACTCCGACGATAACTCCTATAAGAAATGGTATACTATATCACGAAAGATCGTATGTAATTGCCCCTTCTGGGTTGTAATATCGAGTTTCAAAAGTAATGATTATAAATAGACTATTAAAGCGATAGACTATATATATCGAGGGTATCCTCCATTTCGAAATTTCTTTATATACTTAATATTTTAAGCGCGGGGCACCGATATAAATACGTAGAATACTATTATAAGTCTACTCAACTAGTGGGATTTAATAATCTACTTTATTTATACTACTCTTCGCTAATACTACCCTAAACTCTATCTTACATTTAAAAATTTTAATAATATATAATAAACGTTATACTCCAATAATAGGGATAGATATACGGATACTCAAACCTTCGTTAAGAAGCTTAATAGTAACTAATTAATTACTGTAAAGCGTACTGACTTTAATTACTATAGGGATGAGGAGGATAGGGAGAATAGGACTATACTATAGTACGCTCTATAGTTAATACGCGCCTAAAGAAGAATATAAGTATAGTACCTTTATACTCTTTTATTTAATATAATGTATAAGATTAACTGTTACTATACCCTCTTAGTATAAAGGGTAGTACTTACCCTTAAAAAAACCTTAATACCAGTCTTTTAAGCAATTATTAATAATGAGAAAGATAAGGAATTTACGTAATTAGTTAATAAAATCAATAAAGTAATTAAAGAGCTGGGTATCCCGCTGCTAAAAATTATTATTATTAATAGAAATATTCAATTAATTATAATAATCAACCGCATCTTCCTAAATACTTAGAAATAATATTATATATAGTATATTAATTATAATATTATTAATTACCTTAAGAAGGATTGGGTATGCGTACCTCCTAGTAACGAGGACGATAGGAAAAAAGAGGAGGCTGCTGTACTATAAGAAAATAATAATAATAAGGGGTCTAGTGGAGAGGAGTCTAATAGCGATAACTATAATATATTGTCGTTATAATCTTTTAATAGCGAAGCGGTAGTATAATAATTGTACAATAAGGCTATTACTTAGTAAGAAAAGGAAGACTTCGACTAACTACGCTGTTTATATTAGAAGGTTAAAACGGTAAAGAGAACTTAGGTTGGTTTAGGCCTATTGCCTTAGAAGGTAATTAATACTAGATTAAGGTTATTTTATTTATAGTAATATATAATCTACGCCGCTATTGTACCGGACTTTAAAGCTGCTTAATTCCTTCTTTATCATTAATTTAATAGATTTTAGGAAGCTATTATTAAATAGATCCGGTTGAGTCTAATGCCTTATAAGACCGAGTAGGTAGGATGCTATATAAGGAACTACTTTAATTATAGTTAGTATACTACATTACCAAATAAATCCAATAATAGCTCCTTAAAATTATATAATCACTCTATATACAGCGGTTTTATTGATTTTTATAATACTTGCATCGCTTATACAATTACCCATTATATACGTTTTAAGGAGAAGTTTAGTACCTCTATTTCCCGTATATAAGTTAGATAGGTAGGTAGTAAGTAAATGGGTATAACCTTATTGGAATTAATTGTTTGGTGGTTAAATATAATTGAATAGTAATATTAGAAACTCAATATAAGCCTCCCTACCACTAGACACCTATTTAATACTCCGCTAGGATTTTATACTAATAATTTACGTACTTAATATAGCCTCCCTTATATATACAAAATAGAGAGAGTCTTTAATAAAAATAGGAAGGGTGGTATTTTGGTAGATAGGAAGGATATTTACCCGTTTTGGCATCTTTACTAACGATGTATAAACTCTCGTCCCCCCTATCTAACTCCTGGTATCTCATTATACTAATATACACTACAAAATACAGTAGATAAATATTTATAATTTCGCTCAGTAATTAAAGGAATCCCTAAAGGTTGCCTTTCTAAATAGGGTAGCCCGTTTAATAATGAGGTTATACTATTAATACTTCTAGTACTGCCAATACTTCGTAGCAAATCTAGGAATACCTAGCCAATTAGAGTATTGGTACAGCGTAACTATTTTTAATATAAGCTAGGACTCAATTTTAAGGATATAAATACCCATAATATTCGTAGTAGGAGCGAAGTATGTAGCTATATTGAAGTAATTGATAATAAGGAGGAGGACGACGACGACTTAACTAAATATTAAGTAAAGAGAGTTCGAGAGGTACGGTAGAAGGAGAAAGCTAAAAGTAAAGCGCCCGTTAAAATATCCTCATCGGCCTTATTTAACGAACTATTTGAGTTATTAAACGTTAGTATCTAGACTATAGACTATAGACTGTAATACGAGAGCCTCAATACTATAATAGTATTACTAGATTATTCAATTTAAGAATTTATAGATAAGATATAACTATCTTAAAGACTGGCATTTCCAACAGCATGTTCAGAACATCAGAAATCCCCAAATTACCAGCCAAAACGGCCGGTATTATATGTCAACTGTCATTATGTGGGGGAGGGTACGTGTAGGAAAAGGGAGGGTGCGGGGAGGCTTTCCCCTTTTCTATTATACCTCAGATTAGCATACTACTGCGGCATATGATCATTACAGCTTCGACTCTCATCAGTAGCACACATTACCGCGTATTTAGGTATGTCGTCAAGAATCCATTCCAGTTTTCAAGTACAACTCTTTCAACTACCAAAGAATTATCCCGTCCTTCACTATCCCTGTGACTAACATCCACGTTGTAAGCCCAATACCTTTTATCCCTTCCGCTTCTATGGCCTCCTAGCTAACACTCAGAAGCTCATTTCCTTCCAGCAAAATTCCCATCCTGGTTCGACCTGTTTACCTCTCTACCAAACTATCTGTACTTGTGGAGAGGCACGTTCAGTTACTGGAAGGGGCAGGTCCCGTCCCCGAGGAACCAGCAGACCCAGAAGACCCAGATGACCCAGATGACCCAGAAGACCCAGATGAGCCAGAAGACCCAGATGAGCCAGAGGGGCCAAAAGTGCCATATATACCAGCGCCGCCAGTGTTGGGAGCCGAGGGTGCGATGTCTGAGCTTGGCTTTGAAGACATTTTGGTTGGTTTGGTGGTTTGGTTTTGATGTGGATTTTGAAAGTAGATGTGAAGATGTGGTTATGGTGAATGTAGCTGGAGATCTGCTGGCTGGGAAGGACTGTAAATTTATACCACTTCTACAGTCGATATATCAAAATTCTACACCACTAGGTGCGTACCTAGATATGATGTACATCTATCTCATACCATCCATCGATAGGGAAAAGTTTGCTGTTCTCGAACACCCCGGGTTCGCCGTTTTACCTGATGACCATCGATATCTGGTCGCGAGGAAAGGTCATGTGGTGTTTGTTCAAGGCTTTGGGGAGTCTAGAGCTGAACCTTGAGAACCTAAGATAGATGGAATGCATGAAATGTGATAGTGGTAGGGAATAGTGGAGAGATTGGTCATAACTCGAAAGAAAGGCTTGATTGCTCCATCAACTGAGGGAATACTGTGGACTTTTAGCTTGGCTGTATGCGTCGGCCATTCTAATCGACTGGGTTGATGTATACGCGGCTGGTGAGACAGGGTGTTGAACGTGGAAAAAAACCAGCGGGAAAGCTGGTCGAGTGGACTTGACTAAACGGGAGGGTTCGGGATCCATGGTCGTGATGGGCTGAGCGTGTACGGGTTGTGAAACAAGATGTTGTCGGAACGAGATGGTAGAGGTCCGGAGGTGTTGATGTTGTTTGGTGAGCCTGGGCTTCATGTTTTGTGGAGTTTATAGACAAACCGAAAGGGAATGTTTGGATTAACAACTTTCCATATCTTTGGTACGGTGGGTGGACACAGTCCCAATAATGGGGAAAATGCTTGATTAACGACTTGAAGAAGAAAATAGAATAAAAAAAAAAAGGCGAGCTAGGCCAAGTAAAGTAGTCCGCAAACGAATTCGAGTTGAAAAGAACCTTCCACACTTCAGAATACCTACAGTCCTCTCGAGATATAGGTTAGCTCAAGCTTCCAAAGTCTCTCATCAGAAGAGTTTCTCGGCTTCCGAACAACAACTCATACTTGTCAAACAGCAAGGACACAGCGCTATCACCGAAAGAACATAACATGAAGCACGCCATGAAATCAACCCTAAACCACCTCTGCGGCCCGGATTTCGAACTGCACCATCACCGAGAAACTCGATTTGGTTCCTGAGATCTCCTTATTGACCTGGCAGATGATCTTCTGCTGGAAGGGGCCACCAGAATTGGCCCTGGACGAATCATCCTTCGAAACGGAATTGATAACCTCTTCTCCTTGTGTTGAATCCTCAGCCACTATGGTTTCGCCGCTGAGTTGAGTGTCAGTGCCCATCTCCGGGGTCGACGGTGTATCAAGAGTTGGCGTAGGATCGGTGTCCTCTGTTGCTGCATTATTGGTCTTCGGGGTATCGTCGGTCAGTCTAGAGTCGGTGCCCTCTTGCCTTATTGAATCACTGTGGTTTGGTGCACAAACGATCGGATTGGCATCAACATCTTCCTCGGGTGCCGAAGCAATGCCGTTGGGTGCGTCGTCGGCCGGATTGATTTTGACAGCCTCCTGTATTGACTCATCGTCCTCGCAGGCATCGCCTTCTGATATGCTGGCATCATTCTCGAGCTCTAACCCGTTCATCCTACCGGTTAAGGCGTCCAAGTCGTCCTGGTCTTCTTCAGTCTCGGCCGGACTTGGCGGCCTAGGCCCGTCGGTATTCCGTGGGGGAAGCCATTTGGCACCCACGAGAACCTCAGCCAAGACCGTGAGATTTACTTTGTGAAATGTCAGTTTTCTGCTCACTGTTTTCCAATATCGCACCGAGCCTCGGCCGCTGTACAGCTGTACTTACTTGGGGATTGGAAGATGCGCTCATAGTTGCTCCAAGGATAGTATCGTCTAGCGATACAGCTAGCTGGAATTTGCTGATAGAAGATCCATTCGTCCTCCATCCACGGGTGACGAATATCCAAGGATCGACACAGCGCGGTTGACTGGAATAGTGTGGTGCCAGCTGGTAACTTGGCCGTGTCCAACTCGTAGACAAGGACGGGTTTCTCAAGGCACCATAACTTGGCCCAATTATCTGCGTGAACCTGATCGTCGAAGGCAGAGAGGAAACAGGAATCCCAGTCCCGTGTCCCCCATCTGAAATGCCTACCTGCCGCCATCTTCAGCGCATCGCAGGTACGGATGTCAAGGAAAGGGTTCCGGGCTTGGAAGCCACCGTCCTTGAGATTGATCGATCGGGATTGGAAATGCTGAACATGCCAAAGCTTCGGCGGAAGTTTCAAGTTGGGGATAGGCTCCGTATCTTCCGGAGATGGCACGGTATGCCAGAATGGCTGTGACATGGTGACGCTCGAGGGGGTTGGATCGATAAGACAGGATGATAATAACACGGCTCACTGGATCAATGTGTCGTTGACTCGATGGGGCTCGGGGAAGGAGAGGGAAGGACCGTCAGCTTTATGCCGCTCATATTTAGATACTCCAGCCATGCCTTCATTGAGTACTAGGGCGGCGGCAGTGAGCAGGCCGGCGAAGGTGCGGGGCCTCAGAGTAAGCGCCATGGCGCCTTGTCATGGTTGGTATCACAATGGAAGGCGGACAGGTTGACAAAACCCTATATGGAAAATGCCTTACCACCTGCCAACCGGGTCACATTGCGTGTGGCTTTCAGTTGGCCTGGGAGGGTGGCCAGTGGCTGTGTCGGCGCTAACGAACATATAACTAGGGGTGTGAAGTGCGGTCGTGTTTGGTCCTGAGCCAGAATATTTGATGCGCACCGAGACGAGTTGAACTCATGGCACATCACATATGTTCGACATATGTTGATGGCTGTGCAGCTGAGATTGGGAGATTGATAGCGATTGGATGTTTTGGGCTGCCAATGTTCGGAATCGACATGGGTGTCGAAGGACGGCTGAGAAGACAGAGGTGCGGCGTGGTAGTCGCCCAGCGTCCAATGTTTTGATACGATAGTCGAATAACGTAGTGAGAAGCTGATGAAGTAAAAAAACGAACAAACACCGTTATACCGACAGCAGAACATTTTTTGAGGAAATCCAGGCATCCATAGGGAAAGTCTCACCTGAAAGGATCAGGTGATATACACAAATCCCCCCTCCCACCCGAAGAGTTAGCGCTCGCTGTTGGACGCAATGCTTTTCGGAATAGGGGCGTCGTTATTCAGATGTCAAGCATCATTGAAGATATTGGCCAAGCCGTCCACGTCGTCCTCAGTGTTGACTGGTACTCCAATCTGGCCGCCGGATACGTTCCCTGCAAAGAAGCTGATATCGAGAAGATCACAGAGCTTGACGGCGTTGAAGACGATTGGTGATAACAATAGCTGAGTTTCGATTTCGTATAGCGTAACCGGGCCGTAGCGCTGTCTCCCCCTATTTTTGGCATGGCGTCTGTCTCCAAAGGCGGACATGAAACAAGATTGCAAAAAATGCCTGCTCGCCTGCAGCTTGAGTGGGAGGTCTTTGTAAGGTACCGGAAATGGTGAGCTGGGCATTCCTGGGGGGTTGTCATTTAACTCTTCCATGATGTATATGGACAGTGTGAGCGGTAGCAATCTTGGGGTCAAGTGATGGTAAAGAGATACTTGGCCGAGTTAGGTAAGTTAACTGAGGGAACCGGACCCCAAATCCTCCTGCATCCAACTCAGTGATCAAGCGTCCATCAGGCACTCAGTACATCTGATATAACAAACCGCCGACAAGGCCAGGAAGCATTAGTCTGCAAGGTCATCCGGGCTCGTGCGGGAGATGGATGCGTTAAAGGTGTTTGAGTAAAGGTATGGTCATCCAGTTGTCCCTCAGCAAAGACCCCAGCCGGAGAAGTGGCCATTTCGATTGGGAAGGGGATGCCACCATACATCTTGTCGATGGCTGATATACTGCGGATCGCACATCGGCTATCAGGAAGTCGACACGTTGGGAGGCGGGTGATGTGACGGCCATGTGGTTGGCGCGCAGAGCAGTAGATATTCTTAGTGATGAGAATGAGCATGAAGAGAAAGAAGAACGAGGGGGTTCTCAAGGTTCTCGTCACTCGTCAAAAGTGGAGAAGCGGATCCACTGAAAGAGACGGGACGGGAACGCATGAGTGGGGGCCCCGCAATCGGAGCAACGGCGTCATTCCATCCATGTCAAACTTTCCAATTACTGAATTATTCCCGTCCCAACTTTTTGTCGTCGCAACTAAGCCATCCAAATTCAGTCCATCTTCCAGTCTCTACTCTTCAGTTATCGCCAGCCTGTCTGTCTCTCCGCCAAAATGTCCTCTGCCGCCACAAAGGACGATAATGCCCGGGCTCACCCAGCCGTCAAGGGCCCCAGTGCCCTTCGTTCCATTCTCGCTGGTGCGACTGCCGGCGCCGTCGAGATTGGTGAGTCTTCATCCGAGTCACGCACTGCCAGCAAAACTGCGGTCGCATAGCGCTAACAACAATCAAACAGCCATCACATATCCCGCCGAATGTACGTAACCATCGACCCGACGACTAGTCCATCGCGACAAACATCCAATTGTCTAACTGTTCGCGACAGTCGCCAAGACTCGCACCCAGCTCAACCGCAGGTTAGCCGAGGGTCAGAAGCTCCCATGGCCGCCCTTTGGTGCGCAATGGTATGCCGGCTGCACAACTCTGATTATCGGCAACTCCCTCAAGGCGGGCATTCGTACGGTTCCCAGACACATCAAGAGACCAAAAAAACAACCGCTAAACAAGATATGGGACAGGATTCGTCGCCTTTGACCAGTACAAGAAGCTCCTCTCCGATTCCAACGGCAAGCTCTCTGGGCCAGGCACCGTCCTCGCCGGTTTTGGTGCCGGTGTGACTGAGTCACTGCTGGCCGTGACGCCAACCGAGAGCATCAAGACCACGCTGTAAGTCGAGTCACCGTCAAGTCTCCATTCTAGGTCCGCTCGTCGCTGACAAAAAATTACCAACAGCATCGACGACCGCAAGTCCGCCAAGCCTCGTCTCCGCGGCTTCCTCGACGCCGTCCCTGTCATCTACCGCGAGCGCGGCATTCGCGGTTTCTTCCAGGGTTTCGTCCCCACCACCGCGCGACAAGCCGCCAACAGCGCCACCCGTTTCTCAACTTATACCGCCCTCAAGCAGCTGGCCGAAAGCTACACGGCGCCCGGGGAGAAGCTCGGTGCTGTTGGAACCTTCGCCATGGGCGGTATCGCGGGTCTGATCACCGTCTACGTCACTCAGCCATTGGATACGATCAAGACGAGAATGCAGAGTATCGAGGCCAAGCAGCTTTACGGTAACTCGTTCAGGTGCGCCAGCATGATCTTCAAGCAGGAGGGCGTTTTGACTTTCTGGAGCGGTGCGCTGCCGCGGTTGGCGAGACTGATTTTGAGTGGTGGTATTGTGTTCACCATGTACGAGAAGAGCATGGATCTGTTTGACAGGCTCGATCCGGAGAGAAAGTATATCTAATGGGATTGTCACGAGCGAGGGCGTTGAGGCGTCTTTTTTAACGTAATGATGGATGAAGACAATGGAACAACTACAAGAGACGGACCAGGAGAGAAAGACGGACAGACGAAACTCACGAGACCAGCGACGACAGGACGAACGCACCTAATGGCATAGGTAGACAAAAGCTGTATATATGTTTGACACAGGTATATACCCAAGACGTACAGACAAATGTGAAACTTTTTCCCTTTCCGGCAAATGCCATTGCAACCGGTCGCAACGAGCCTTTGCTCTAGCCCATCATATGTACCAGGCTTTTATTTCTTTTAGGTATCCCAGACTCCAGACGCCTGCCTGCCCATGAACCACACATGCAATTCAGTATTTGTACAGAAGTAATCTTACACTCCTCCTCTCCTCTCCTCTCCTTCCAGCCTCATCTTACGACTGGAAGCGAATGATACCTCCCAGCCTCTTGGCCATCCTGCCAAGGAAGGTCCTGTTCGGCGCCTCCTCAAGCTCCTTGGTCAAATCGGTATAATACTTGGGGTTACTCTTGGGCCTGAGAAGCTCGCCAGTAATGCGGTACTGTTTCCAACCCGTTCCGTTAGCACCATATCCCATAGAACTACTCCATCCATTTGCCTGTGCCTCATCTATCTTTTCACCAATATCTAAGCCAATCAGACATACCTTGTTCTTGTACCGATTCTCCAACAAGCCAATCAGCGCATTTGCCTGCTTGATCTCGGCCTCTTCTTTAGCCTCCTTGGTCAACTTGGTAAAGGCCGGCTTGTTGGGCAAGAGGCTGCCGTTGTTCTTTTGCAGGCGCTTGGAGAGGACGTCTTGGAGCTGGCATTCGGGCCGGAGGGCGTCGCGGGGCCATTCGCCGAGGGCGCGTTGGTATTGCCTTGCGGCGAGCTGTGGTGCAATCTGTGTGTTAGTGATGCCGATGTGGAAATTGCGGTGTATTGGGTTTGGCATACGGTTCGTAGAGCTGCGGACATGGTGCTTGTGGTGATTGTGGTGATGGCGGCGACACAGATGGTTTCAATCGCAAAGTCGCAATCGCATAGAAGTTGACGGCGGCGCGGCCCCTCTGAAATTCTGGGCTTGGCACTACTCGGCGGAAGTGGAAGCGATGGGCCTGTCGGTCGATCTGACGTTGATACTGGAGCTTGAGCCACAGATCAGATCTTTGATAAGCCACACTTTTGGGAAATGGCCAGCCACAATGGTTCACGAACTGTCTCCGCTTGTCTCCGCTGCTCCATGCAATTCCACCGCACTGCACTATTTCCACTGGCGCCGTGATGGGATGGCGCAGTCCAGCACGGTCCCTCGCTTCAGCACAATCATTTCAGGGACTTGGCCGTTGGGGCTCTTGGCACAATCCCGCTTGGTCAGCTGCCATCTTGTTTCGTCGAGTGACACTGTGAGGGGAGAGTGAGTGACAGTGACAGCGACACAACAGCGCCTTTTCTCTCCTTCTATTTGTGCCTGGCCGACTACAACAACCTTGAGGTAATTGAGGACAACGCGCAAGGTCTGACTGACATTTTGTCGACCACCATTTTTTTGCATAGTAGTCGTTACCCTATGTTGCGTGGTTTGTTTCACTAATTTCTTCAATTCGACTCCTTTTCGTATTCCTCATTCAACCACTTTTCCCTTCCTTCCTTGTCCCTCTCTGCTCAACTCGACGGCCATCCTCTTTGACGACGGCAACAACAACAACAACAAACGACTTGGCTCTCTCAATTATACGAGCAAAAATCCAATCTCCTATTGTCTCCTTGTTCTAGTCTCTCTCTCTTGTTCCACTTTCTCCTTCCTTGACTCCATACTAGCCGTATCGCTTCCTCCTTTTCCACTCCTGAACACCCGAGACGACGACGCGCGACAGACTCCCTGCAAGCCCACCGGATTTAGTGCGGTGCCCTGCATACACAGTGGCGACGTCAGTAGGAGAACCTTGGCAGCATCCGGCATTATTTGTCTTACCATCGAACTGTGTTCCATCTCCATTTCCATTCTGATTGCCCGATCATTATCCATCAACAACAAAGTCCATCTCTTATCTCCGTGCATGATCCAGGCGAGGGGTTTTTGAATCCCGAAAACACCACATCCGACATTAAAAGTTGTCAATATCAACAAACACGACAAAGACAGACACCAGTCGACGACTCATCCGCAGACATCCGCCACCATGTCGGCCCGTTACGAGAGGGTATGTTGTCGCCCATCATCACCATCAGACCTCAACTCCAATCAATCTAACAATCCTCATCAGGTCAACGCCCACGCCGATGATGATGACGACCATCACGACGACACGCCAACACCTACCAACCCTACCTCGATGACGCGACCATCGATCCCCAACTCGCCACCACCATCCTTCCATTCTCGCGCATCCTCCATCCACAACAGCCAGCGCCCAGTGAATCCCGACCTTGCCGATGCCTTTGGCGCCGACGAAGATGATGACGACAGCGATGATGATGCCGATGACCGACAGCGCTTGATGCGACGGAACTCTTCGCCGACGGAGGCCTCCGGGGCAGCGGGATCGACTGAAACAACATCAGGAGGAAGTTCGAGGCCAGGGCCGGAAAGGCAGACAACGCAATTACCAACCACATCATACACGACAACGGCGGGAGGGTCAGCGACGCAAACGTCAGGAAGGGTTTACGGTGGTGGTATCCAGAATGAGGGTGTCTTTTCGAACTTGACTGCCAAGCCGGAACGAAATAATGGCGCCGAGAAGGAGGAGTTGCCACCTGTACGTATTCCCTTGTCCGCCAAGCGTTGAGACACATTTACTAACGTGTAGCAGTCCTACGAACAAGCAGCCGCAGACGCCGCTCCCCCATACTGGGAAACCACCATTCTCGCTCCCGGCCTCGGCGGACCCGACGACGTTTACATCGAAGGCATGCCCGTTGGCTCCATCGTCTCCTTCATCTGGAACGGCATGATTTCCATGTCCTTCCAGCTCGTCGGTTTCCTGCTCACCTACCTGCTCCACTCTACTCACGCCGCCAAAAACGGATCTCGCGCCGGTTTGGGAATCACGTTGATCCAGTTTGGCTTCATGATGAAGGGTACGCAAGAATCTGGCGCCGAAGGGGATGGGTACACGGCCCCACCAGATCCGAACTCGCACGACTTTGACCCGGGCGCGGTGGACGACAACAGGGGAGGCGACAACTGGGGATCGGTGGACTCGAGCGATTGGGTGGCGTACATCCTCATGTTGGTGGGCTGGTTCATTCTCATCAAGAGCGTTAGTGATTACATGAAGGTCAGGAGGCATGAGATGCTGGTGCTGCAGAGCCCGGATAGAGGGTTGGGGATTCCGATTATTGCTACGGGCGAGGCGCCGGAGCGGGTGGTATAGACGTGGTTGGGGAGAAGCTTGCTTGGGATTTTGCCACTGGTGTGTGAGGTACGGATATGGACAGTCATTTTATGGGGATCAATGTCTATGTTTGTCTCGGCATGTGTTCTGGGACACTCTGTTAAAGGAACGCAAAGCACTACGCGTACATACGAACGGTCATCCTACTCTTTTTCTTTGTTTTTTCCCCCTCCTCCTATACAAGAGCATTTTAATGGGCGGACGTGTCTTTCCTTTCTGTTGATATACTGCATTGATGACTAGTTCTTGGGTGTTGTGCTTGAGCTAGACCACGGTTTGTTGGGCGAAGAAGACGAAGAAAAAACGATGTTCAGCGGTTCACGGAATATCTTTATCGTCTACACTGTCCAAACTGGAAGCTCTGCTATCAATCCAAGCCTGATAAGATGATAATCAACGGGTTGACGTTTAGCGATTCACTGGCCTTCCCCGCACGCTTTGCCCCTCTCCTTCCTTCGCTTCGATTGAGCGTTAGTGTCGTAGTCATGTGCTGATGATCCATGCAGGATGGCACGTTGATAATCAACCACAGATATATGTGGAGCTCAGCTCCCTCCGGATCTGACATCAGACGCTTTAATGTTCAACGTCAATGCTTCATCATACATAGTAGGTGAGGTCCAAAGCACTTGCACTTGACAACAGATCGTCGTCGTTGCTATTTCCTCGCGTCTATACTTTGTTGATACTCCACTTTCCCTTCAACATATGAACGAGTAAAATCTTCCATCGTCTTTCCTAATTATACCTATCCTTCCGCTCTTATTATCTTATCTCCAACCTTGCATACCTACCTCCTAATCACCGTCTATATCGTCCCAGCCCCTCTTCATGGAACTCGCGCCGAACTATCAACTCTTCGCTCTGAACGAATGACATCCCTTTTTCTTCGATCCGTACCAAGATCCGCACCACTAAAATCCATCAAGACGAAACCGTCAACATTACTTACTTCCACAGCAGCTGCCGTTGCCGCTGTCGCATATCATCAGTCCCCGAACAACAACACTTATCCCAACACACTTCTTCTCCCTATCAACAACATCAACAACCCCTCGACCTCCTGCACCGCAAGTACCCTTACCCTTGGGCCTACTACTGCTACTACTACGCCTACTACGCTTATTGGAAGAAGCCGGAGCAGAAATTTCAGTACCACTACAACGACGAATCTCTGGTGGTCAGCACTCAAAAGTAACCTCAACATGGCGTGGTACTCGTCGGGCGGGAGCAACGCGGAGCTGGTGGAGAATTTGTGGAGGAATGGGTTGATTAAGGAGGAGAGGGTGAAGGAGGCTTTTTTGAAGGTTGGTTTTTCTCCTTCCTTTGATTTTCTGCTTCTGCAGCCCGTGTTGGTTTACGGTTGAGTCGCTGTTTTTCTTTGGGCTTTTATGACTGAAGCTGCATGATGGGGCGAGGGTTGGGAGGTATGCATACGATAAAGCTACCGAGTAGTTTGGATCGGATATTTCAAAGCTTTCGTTGCGTCCTCACCTTTTATCCCTCCCAATAATCACTTCCAACCCCTCCCATCCCATCCATCACCCTCCTACCTTAACACACTCCACCTTCTGCACACCACACTAACAGAAACAACAACAGGTCGACAGAGCCCACTACGCCCCCACCTCCCCCTACTCCGACTCCCCCCAACCCATCGGCCACGCCGCCACCATCTCCGCCCCCCACATGCACGCCACAGCCATCGAACACCTGCTCCCCTCCCTCCTTCCCTCCCCCTCCCGCCCGGCCCCTCGCGTCCTCGACATCGGATCGGGGTCAGGCTACCTCACGCACGTGCTCGCCGAGCTCGTCGGTTCCGAAGGCGGCACCGTCGTCGGCCTCGAACACATTCCCGCCTTGCGCGACCTCGGCGCGCGCAACATGGCTAAGTCCGCTGAAGGCCGCGACTTTTTGGAGACAGGCCGGGTGCGGTTCCGTGTTGGTGATGGGCGGAAGGGGTGGCGCGAGACGACGTCGGATTCGGCGGCTACGGATGGAAGCGCTGCCTTCGGTAGTGGTAGTGCTGGTAGTGGTACTAGTGCAAGAAGAAGACGGGAGTCGAGCGTGGATGAGCGGTCGCCGATGGGGGAAGTGGAAGGGCAAGGAGAAAGAATGGGGGAGGATAAGGATGAAGGGAAGTGGGATGCGATTCATGTGGGGGCGGCGGCGAAGGAGATTCATAAAGAGCTGGTGGATCAGTTGAGGAGTCCGGGACGGATGTTTGTGCCTGTTGATGATGATGAGATGGGACTGGGGCAGCATGTGTGGTTGGTGCAAAAGGGGGAGGATGGGGAGGTTAGTAAGAGGAGATTGTTTGGGGTGAGGTATGTGCCTTTGGGGGATCCGCCTCGGGCGTGATACTTGTGGGATGGGAGAAAGGGGTGTGATGGAAGTGATGGAGATGGAGATGGATGGGTAGAGGTATACGAACGGGACTGCAAAGAGAAGAGATTGAATAGTAGGCAGTAGGTAGTAGCTTGCGCATAATACATTATTAGCTTGAAATGACCGTCGAAGGTAGCTTTCAAATGTTGATTTGAACCTGGAGTGCCGAAAATAGGAGGATAATTCGACTTGATGGACCATCTGTCAGTCAAGTAATGAAACACAACTTCGAGACAAGTGCGATGCTTCTTACTCATCCCTTGCTCCCCTTCCTATCTTTCCTGCCCAAGGGACTGGATACCTCAAGTAGCCATGACTCCTGAAAAAGTGAACTATCGTCCTTCGGTCGGCACGCTCTCAGCGTGACATCCCTCGACTAACCGATGAAGACTTACTACCTCTTGAAATGCATTGTATGTCGCGAAACAAGAACTTTGAAGAGAAAGGAGGAAGCCTAAAGCACAATCACTTCACCCCGTAAACCCGGAGTACTCGCGTGTAATTGCGTCTGAAATGGCAAGTGTACGGTGTGCAATACGATACTCGTTCCCCTTGCCGTCATGTTCCTCCTGTGATAAAAAAAAGAATCTGCTGACGAAGGTACCTACCCGGTTCTCTCTCACGGATGACCGAAGGTCAAAAGGCAGGCACTGAAAGTGTGCCCGGTGACCGTGGGTATAGGAGCTTAGTGGTGACTGAGCTGAATTGATTCAACGGGTATGGTACGTTGATTGCAAGAAGGTTGAGGTGCACTCGAGCGACGTTGGAGCTACCATCCAAGGGTTGGTAGAGCAAAGCAGTGTTGCAGGCGTTGGGTTTGATGGGGCTTCATAGTTTTCTGCAACTCCAGTGCCTTCCGTAAGTTGTCCTTTCTTTTCCTTTCTTCTTTTTTTTTTTTTTTTCTCTTTGTTCTTTTTTCCGATTCGTTTTTTCCTTTTTTCCTTTTTTCCCTGCACAACTGCGAAGCAGAAAAGCAGTGTCACAGTGACTTCCCATGTGCTTTGCAAGAGCCTCATATCTCTAATTTCTAGTAGGATCGGGCCTGTTAATATTTCTTTTTGGAGGCTCGGATGTTAGCTTTCGAGCATCGCCACGAAAACGGCTCATCGGCTCAACCCCAGAAACTCTACTCATCTTTAGGGTTTACTTGCTGGCTCGTCGATAACCGCAGGATGGTCACTCTTCGTCACTCCGGGAAGCTGCTTGGAAGTATTCGAAAGTTCGCAACAGAAGAAGGGAGGTTACCTATCGCTATGTGTGTATGCTGCTGCCTCATTTAACCGATTGATATCCCGGTGACTTGGTGTCCCACGTTGTGTTGTGATGTGATGCGATGTGATGTTGAACTGGGCAGGGAAATTGGCCAGGTAGACAGGCAGATGAGCAGGACAACGATGACAACGATGGCAACATGGCCGGGTTCTGCGTCTGGTGCTATCGCCGAATGCAACCTATCAATCTCACGGACCCCCGAGAGTGCTTCCGCTATCTAAGCAGCTCCGTTGTCCCAAACGGTCGGGACGTGGGAGTATTAGTGATTGGTTCCAGCTTTCTTCGGTCTTCCGAGCTCCATTTTGACATTCCAAGGGAGTGGTGCAAGTGGAAAAGGGGCGTAAAAATTGATCGTAAATCGGGTGGTTGAAGGTTTTTTTCTCTTTCTTATTTTTCTCTCGCGCTCTTGCTGTCCCGAAGTCGAGGTCGAGGATTACCCAGCCTTTTGCTCTCCATCTTGTCTCCATCCAACACGCGGCTATTGAATTCCCAAGATCTTCAAATCGCGAATTCCTATGGGGGAGCCAGGAAAAGGAAAACACGTGCTCTCATTCCGACTTTGTGTGGTCTAGACAGAGCAACATGGAAGTTCACTGTTCTGGGTCCCCCAGGTCTTGGTTCAGGAAGCCCTGTCCAGGCCTCCGTGGCCGGGGAAGCCTCTGAGTGATCCGCTCATACATACATATCACCACTTGCACGCACCTTCCTAATCCGGCATTAAACCGAAGTGTTCTGAAATGTTGGTGGTCGTTGGCTTGGGCTCCACTCGCCTTGGTGTGTTAGTGATGAGGCTCACAATCGACCAATCAGCGCTAAAAAGCCCTAATCCTTGCCAATTTTTGGCTGGGCCCGCCGCGCAGAAAATGCCCGGCGCAGTGGACAATGCGGGGTGCTTTAGCACTGCAGCTAAGCTGGATCAAGGCATTTTCCGGGGTGAGCTAGTAACGTGTACGGACGGTTGTTGGGAGCAGACGTGGAGGCTATTTATTCATGATAGGTATGATTTGGATTACATGTGAGATTTGGAGGTTGATGTGTCGTCAGGTGGTGAGGAATCATTTTGCTGGGATCTGAAGAACTGTATCCGGGAGGAAGATGGTGTCATTTGATATCTCACTCGTGCCTTGAAGAAATCAGTCAACGTTGAAGAAAAAAAGGTTCGACCTAGCTGATCCCATTGAACAGCGTCCAAGTCCGAGTACGCCTTCCGCATGTCTCAAGTATCATGGGGCACCTGCCGGTTTCCATTCGAAGCTGTGGTTTTCACGAACAGGCGGGGTACTCGACCGTTTGGGCTAGAAGGCGGAGACCCTTTCATGGTCAGAAGGACGAACGAACTCTTACACAAACCCTCCCGGATCACGAACTCGGAATCTCTCGCCACATTGCTGACTGGAAGAGACTTGCCATGAAGAACAGATCGAAGCAACCGCAGTTCCTTACGGTCACATCCGGATGCAACGCATGAATGGGAGACGGATCGCACTCTGAACGCCTCTTAGGGCACACGCATGGGCATTCTCATAAGGCTGCTTCCGCGCGCATCATCTGTCTTGTCCGGACCATAACTCAAGGATGGTGGTTCCCGAGTTGCAATTGCCTGTACAATCCAGCCCTGGTTTGTTTGCTAGTGTGGTACAAAAATGCTAGATTCTTACCAGACTTTTGAAAGCGGCTGAGATCCTCGCGGATAGATGCTGTGAATTGTTATCTTGATGTTTTAGGGCGGGAGGACGGAGACGTCGAGATACTACT